TTTTGATTGTTTATTTACAAATGACGTTCTTGATCAGCAATATCCATAGATCACTAATTTTTTAATAAACACTAAAATTAAAAAAAATATTGTCACTGTAATATTTTAATTTAAAATGCAAATTAGTGATGGAATTATTTTTTAAACTTCTACCGGTATTTCCTCCTGACTGTACAACCGATGCACAACGCGGTTACTGTCAAAGTGGCTGCATGCGCCTTATACGCAGGCGAAAGATAAGACATACCTTATCAACATAATGTTCTAATAATTTAAATACGCTTTTGAACATCATTTTAAAAATTTTTTATGAATTATTTTAATATTTCTATTATTCCAATAATTTAATCATGCCATAAGCAAACAAATCACATAAAGTTTTCCGTTATAAAAGCACTTGCGCCATCCACCATGAGAACGAGAAATCAGGCGCATAATGGTTTCTTTCTTTTCAATGTTAGATAAATTAAGAATAAAGGAGAAACAAACCAACAGTTTGAAAAAGTAATTTTGCTCATTACATATCAAAGCATAATTCGATTGTAGTGATCAGTTTAAAACCATATAGAAATATATGTGGTGAAAAAAATATTCTATCTATTGCAGAGGGTCGTTTATGCTTATTAACTTCCCGTAGGGCAAGTTATAGTTATCGCAAAAAAGTCGAAAATGAAAATTTTTATATATCTTTACGTTTCAGAGGTTTCTGAACATTTTGGCATACCTTAGAAAAAATTGATGTATGTGTGTGTGTGCGTGTGTGTGTGTACGTGTGTGTATGTATGTGCGGATACAAATTTTTGTCGACAATTTCGGGAACACGGATCAACCGATTTGAACAATTCAAAAAGCATTCGATTCGTATTGATAAGGAGACGTGCTGATTAGTTTTTGGCGAAGGCAGGTCCAGCCGTTCCAAAAATACGGGGCAAAAAGTGCCGAAAACAGTAACTCATTTTTAAGAGAACGGAGCGTCCGATTTGAATAATTCAAAAAACATTTAACTTGTATTGACAAGATAAAGAATTGATCAAATTTTCATGAGGGCAGGTCTAGCCGTTTCGGAGATCTAACAAAAAAAGTAAAAAAAATGCCATTTGGCGGTCAAAAATGATCATTAGACATATGCACATCAAATTATCAGATATTTTATAGAGATTTCGACAATAAGTATAAATTTTGTTTGCATTCCTATGGGTTCCGTACCAATGTTTATTCGTTAGACGGCGACGCGGAGCTTACGCGCTTTGACATTTTGTCTCTATGCAGTTAAAGCGCGATTGCTTTGAAAAAAAGTTCAGATCTTTCAAAATATGCCAAAATAAAGAAAACATTATTTTTTCAAAAAAAATTTTTTTTCAAAAAAAAGTAATTTTTTGTCTAATTTATAGTTTCTCAAAAATCTTATTTTTTCGAAGTAATTTTTTTTTTTAAATGTCAATCGTTTTTAAAAAAATAATTTTTGGTACGGGAAGTTCCAGCAATTTGCCTTAAGGCACAATGCCTTAATTGCCTTAAGACAGAATTCCACTTACAGCTAGTTTATCTATAGTTGTTACTGCCAATGCCACAATAATAAATTATTTGCTAATTGTTTTGTTCATAGAGAATTAAAAATTCCAATTCAGTATATTCGCAAAATGTTAAATGTAATTTTATATACGATCATGAATCATGCTAGTCAAATAACAAATTTTAATTATTTCAAATTTAAAATATAAAGAACCCCAACAACTGAGTGGACAATTTTTGTATTTGTTCAAATTCATTTTAATTGTCATTATTATTTTATTAACTTCCCGTAGAGTAAGTTATTGTAATCGTCCAAAAATCAGAAATGAAAATTTTTACATATCTTACCATTCTGAACATTTTGGCATACCTTATTTTAGAAAAAATGGATTTATGTGTGTGCGTGTGTATGTGTATGTGTGTGCATGTATGTGCGGAGACAATTTTTTGTCGACGATTTAGAGAGCATGGATCAATCGATTTGAATGATTAAAAAAACATTATTAAATTAATAATAAGTTTTTGGCCGAGGCAGGTTCAACCGTTTCGCAGTTACGGGGCAAAAAGTATTAAAGATGGTAATTCAGTTTTTGAGAAAACGGAGCGTCCAAATTCAATGATTGAAAAAATATTTAACTTGCAATGACGAAATGAAGAACTAATTGAATTTTTGGGAAAACAGGTCTAGCGGTTTTGGAGTTTAAGTAAAAAAAGGTAAAATAAAATGCCATTTGGCGGTCAAAAACGATTATTAGATATATGGACATCGAATTATCAGATATTTTATAGAGATTTTGATAATAAGTACAAGTTTTGTTTACATTTCTATAGGCTCGGTAGCAATGTTTATCAGTTAAGTACACCACGATACAGCGCTTACGCGCACCGATATTCCGTCTATAAAACAGCGATGACACAGTGATTACTTTAAAAAAAAAGTTCAAAATTTTCAAAAAAAAGTCAAAAAATCAATTTTTTTCAGTTTTTAAATTTTTTTAAATCTTTTTTAAAAATTTTTTTTTTGGTACAGGCAGTTTCAGCAATTTGCCTTAAGACACGATGCCATGCACCGTTAATTTATTAACTTCCTGTAGCGTAAGTTATAGTAATCCAAATATAGTAATAAAGACCAAAAATCGAAAATAAAAATTTTTACATATCTTCACGTTTCAGCCATTTCTGAACATTTTGGCATACCTCAGAAAAAATGGATGTGTGTGTATGTGGGTATGTGTGGAGACAATTTTTCGTCGACGATTTCGGGCGTACGGATGGATCGATTTGAAAAATTCAAAAAGCAATCGATTCCTATTGATATGGATGAGAATGAGATCTGCTGATTAGTTTTTAAAGCAGACAGGTCCAACGGCTTCGGAGATATGGAGCAAAAAATGCTACAACTGTCAGTTTTAAGAGAACGGATAAAGCGATTTGAATGATATAAAAATCGTCCGATTGATGGGAAAAAGTGGTAATTAGATTTTGGCAAAGGCAGTTTCAGCCGTTTCGGAGATAGAGCCAAATGTGCAAAAAATGAAACGAAAACGATTGACGAAACGATTGCTTTTGAAAAAAGAATTTTTTTATATATATTTTTTTAATTTTCAAAAAAAATTTTTTGAAAAATAATTTGGATTTTAATTCTAATTCTAGCTAAAGCTCTAACTATATCACTTATATACTTCAAATAAATGATTTTAACTTTGCAATTCAGTTTATATAATATGTATACACAGGGCCGGTCCTACCTTGAATGCAACGCATGCAAAAATGCAGGCGCACGCCTTAGGGGGCGCCAAAACAAGGTTCGGAAATAAAATTTATAATATATTATTTATATAATTTTTAAATATAAAATCCAGATTACTTAATAGCTTATAATAAACAATCCAACTTAACTATGAGACACAAAAAGCATATTCAGTTTGCAATGTGATATCAATAGAAACAATTAACCAAATAATAACTCTGCAAATTTATAAATTAATGTTCTGCTTATTGTTTAATGTACTTATTAATTTTTTTCTTCGCTTTAACTTAACGTGGAATCGAAAAAGAAATCATTTAGTGTTCAATCCCGTAAGAGCAAACCTACGAAAGTTTCAATTAATTATTGCGCGTTATTGGTGAAAAATGGCAAGCTGACTTAGTTGAAATGGAACTTTAATAAAGAAACATATACTAATTATACTAAAGAAAATGGAAAATGGGGAATCAGTGTTTAGAAAATGGCTTGTTTATTCCGCAAATTTGAATTGTAATTTTTGTTTTTGTTGCAAATGTTTCACATCTGATGAACTTTGAACGTTGAAGACATGCGTGGTTAGGGTTATGGAGCAAATATGAAAAATGGAAGCAAAATGTACTTAGGAACAAAAATCTTTAAGCTTTTTCTATACAAAATTTAATTATTAACTATGAAGAAATAATACAGATACAATTATATTTTGTTTGTTCCCGTATAGTTAAGGAAATAAGTAATTTCTTTGCATCTTTTACTAATCTTTGGGCAATACTTTAAAAAATAATTTTTTAAAAGTTTAACTTTAAAACAACAATCTGATACTCTGTATCTGATGGGAAAATAAAGCTGAATACAATGATATGATACAATGATATGACCTTATGAATGATATGATACCAATAAGGAGAAGTTTACGATTCAATTTTGGATATTGTATTTATTTTAATTAATTTTAATATTTTAATTTAATTTAAATTAAAACATGAAATACGAGTGTTATGTTTAAAAATCAAATACTAGTTTTTTTTGCTCTTTTGTCGTGATTTGTTCTATAGAATAAATCGCATAAAAATGTTTCAAAACCTAAATATTAATATTATACATACGTTAGAAATAATTGAGAATTTAAAAAAAAATGATTATGATCAACCCCCGAGTCTCCTCGATTTTCTAAATAAATTTAAATCGATGTATTGTATACGCTTTTAGATTTTATCTATTTTTTGTGTACTAAATCCAGGATGACTAAAAATTAATTTAAAAAAATCAACGTAAAATATAAAAAATATAACGAAAAACTGTTAAAACAGTTAAAATTATTGGGGGGGGGGGCGCTAAAATAAATCTTGCATGCGGGCTCTGAGAACCTCAGGACCGGCCCTGTGTATACATATTATATAGTATACTTAGAAATATTAGACAATGTTCTTCATTTGAAATCCGATTGATTAAGTTTTGTTTAATTACTTTTTATAAAATAAGAATAATGAAAGTTACATTATTTATAATAATCTAGTTGAAAACATTTTTTATATTCCTCGAACACTGAAAGTTCTAGCAATTTGCCTTAGGGCACGATGCCACACACCACTAGTAATTAAATGATCTATTATGTCTAATTTCTATTCAAATGCACTCTGTGGTCAGTTTGTAGTCCGGTCTCTATGTGTACTCTATTCTATGTCTGCCTCTATGTTTATGCATCAAGTAGTCAAGATAGGTTTTGTTTATTTAAACCGCATACATTTGATAGCCGAATTGGTGATAGTTGGAATAAATTAGTTTGATTTACGAATATTAAAATGAAAAATTGACCACAATGCTTAAAATAAGTAACTCAACAAGGCGAATTGTTGATTTGCCTCTGGAGGTATTATAATGTGTTTACAATCCATTATTTATATCACATGACTTTTTGAAACAATATATGTAGTACACATTATAAAAATAATTGAAAAATATGTTAGTATTTAGGCCTGGGTCATTACATTTCCCCAAATATGCAAAATGGTTAATTTATATGCATGTTCTTATGCAATAATCAATAATAAAATTGCATAGTTATGGGTTATAGAATGCATTTCAAGATATCTATTATAAATATTAAAATTTATGTTATAGATTTTAGAATCCATTTTGAGATACCTAAGTGTATCAGACCAAATTTCCTTTGGAGCAACATGTCGCTACTTTTATGAAGTGACATGTGGAATACACTTCTGCGGAAGAGAGAAAGTTATTCTTTGCAAAGACAAAATGGATGGTGATCGACCTCTGATCCAGGTATATATAAATATGAATTGATATCTCATAGTCAGAGGTATATTAACTCATAATGAGATTCCGTTCTCATATGGTTTATATTATAGTTTTAGGAACCGAGGTCTATTCCCACATAATACTAAAAAAACTTACCATGAATTTCAATTAGTGTGCATTAAAAATAATATTTATACATAAACTCATAAAGCTCATTTGGAATATGAAATTTGATGAAGAAACTGTGTGAACATATATTAAAATTAAAAATGACTTAATTAGATCATCTTTAATATGTACTGGTTTCTGAAGGAAAATGCTCCTCACTAGTCGTTTGGATTTGCAAGTTACATAGATATTATAAATGAAACAAAACAAAAATGTTCTCAAGAACTCATGTTATTTCTTACATCAACGTAATTTATTAATTTAATATATCCATCTAGAGGTCATATGAATATATACTCTTTGGGATATTAATCTGAGTACAGAAATCCAATGGTATTGTTAGTTTCCAACCTAATTGTTTAAGTGTTTTTTAATTTTATAAGCATAATCTATTACAGCGACTGAAAGCTAAGAAATAAAATTAGATTTGTATGTCCATATTATTATTTTGCTGAAACAAACTTAAATTATTTAACATAGTTGAACAACTTCTAAAATAAATATTTCTTGAGTTAACTAAGTTCTGAATGATATCACACTCTTAATTTTATCTGCCAGATATTATATAAAATAATTGAAAATTGAATTTTATAGGTACTTAGAAATTCAACAAAAAAGTTTCATCATTACTACTTTGAGCAAGTGGAATTTGGAGATAAGTTGGAAGATTTTTGGCAAACATTTGGTCCAGATATTTATTCTCTATATATTGCACGATGTGATATGCAAGAAAAAGCACTTGGAGAAGCATTATCTGAATGTAGCCATTTAGAGGAATTGCATATTATATCATGCCATGATATTCTTATGTCAGGAAGACTATTGGAATCAAAAGAAGAAAGGGCAATCTTGAAAAAGACTCTAAATCAATTGAAATTCTTAGATCTTTCCAGTAACAGATACTTGTCAGATGCACTATTTACAAGATTTGCTCATTTGACTAACAAGATGCACACCCTTTTCCTAAATGGGTGCAATATATCGTTTCACAAAGGATTGTATAAAAAATTTTACCCATCACAAAATTTTGACTCACCCTCAGAAAGTGTGTTAACTTTTAAGTTTATATTAGAATTTTTAAGAGATCAAGCATCAACTATAAAAAGCTTAGACTTCAGTAGCACACTGATTGACGGATCTGCATTATCATCGCTTGCGCAGATACAAGGATTAGAATTAAGTTGCTTGAAACTGCAGCAATGTGATCAACTCACCAACTCAGGGATATTGGAGTTGTGCAATAGGCAACAATGTTTAGTTGAATTAGACTGTTCGTTTTGCTCTCGAATGACTGATCAATCTCTGATAGCAATATCTAACGGCTTAATTAATTTGCAAAAGTTGTACATTCGTAGATGCAGGGCACTAACAGATGTTGGTATAAGTGAATTGGATAAACTTGTAAATCTTAAAGTACTGGATATTTCTGAATGTAGCACTTTTATCACATCAAAAGGGATAGAAGAAGCTATATGTTCAAAATATAATGAAAGGATGAATGAACTTATTTTGGGAGGATTAGAAATTACAGAAAATGTTGTTTTACTGATCACTGATAATTTACCTAATCTAAGAGTCCTAGATTTAGGTGGATGTGGTAATGCTGTGACTAATCTTTGTGTTCAGAATATTTGCAGTAAACTCCAATGGCTTCGAGAATTGAACTTAGATCATTGTTACCGAGTTACTGATACTGGTTTAACTGGAGTTCTTTGCACTACTGTTGACGATGAAATGTTAAATTTTTATAGAATGACTCATGCTGCAAAAACTCAGGAAAATATGATGATAAATTTAAAAATAAATGAGGTGAATACTATAATAAAGTAGTGATGAGAGCCTTTTGATGAACATTAATTACTGATCATTGAATATTTTAAAGTATTGAATTAATCTAAAGGGAGTGATTGCTTATGAAATAATACAAATTTTTTTATAGGGTTATAATCATTTCAATGATGAAAATCTTATGAATGGAGACAACGGTATTGCCAAACTGCGTGGTCTAATGGTTTTAAAGTTGCAAGGCTGTAGATTGACGGATCTTAGTCTTAAAGCATTGAGATTTTTAGAACTCAAAAAGCTAAGTTTGAGCCACTGTTTAGAGGTACCATTGACTAATTCTGCAATCAAATAAAACAATTTCATTGTTATTTTTTTTTTCAGTTTACATTAGCAGGATTTGAAAACATGGTTCAATACTGTCCTGCTTTGGAAATTTTGAATCTTGAAGCTAGTAAAGTGGTAACAGACGAAATAGTATTATGTATTGTGAAAAATTTACCAAGATTGAAAGTACTGGTGTTAGATAAATGTACGCAGATTACCAATTCATCTTTGGACTCAATTTTGTGTTACGGAAAATATATCAGGGTAAGAATAATTTATTTCTAAATAAAACAGTGTATAATAAATTATTTCTAATATTTTATTAAATTTTATACAATTTTTTAGTATGTGTCATTTAATGGATGTGAACAGCTTAATGATTTTAGAAAATTAAGTGACTTGAACTCTAAAGTACCACATTGTATTGTGGAACATAATGTATTATCATCCGATGCATATGTAAATTGGAAAAGTACAGAATACTCTTCCTCTAATTGGAAAACCACAGAATACTCTACCTACGATCCACAATTTTAAACAAAAAACGCCATGTAAAAAGAACATTTTAGTAGTTGAAATACTAATATATTTTTTACATTCTCTTACAACGCATTTTACATGTTTGTTTATAAAAATATAAATTGAAAAAAAAATCATTTTATTATGTTTGCAACTTAACATATTGTGATTTAAAAATTAAATTATTAAATATATAATTGTTATGGTGTTATGAAATGTATTATATTAAAAGTATTGTTTATACATGATATTATATTAAATGAAATTAAATTTCTAATGTTTTAAGTGACAAAATATGTTTATACAATTTATTAATTTATTAAATATAATATGAACCTTCATATATATGAAACGTAAATTGTATTTATTAGTATATTAAATGGCATTATTCAATATTATTTCATCTTCAAGATATAAATTCATTCTATTCTATTCAATTTGTATTGATTACAATTTCTGTAAAAAATATTTCAATATAAAAACAATCTATATCTCTTTAAGTAGCAGCATTAAGATTAGAATATTATGACAAATATGACTTTCTTAAATATGATAATATGTACATAAACTATTAAAAGCCATAGGACAATGAAAGCTATTTCATAGAAGTTTTTTGCAATTTTCCTACATTAAAATATTCATCATATACATTGAAATTTATTTATTTCTTTGATTTATTCAGTACATATCTTTATTTATGTCTGCTAAACTAAGAAAATCCCATTAATTTGCATTTTAAAAGCTATGGACCATAAAATAACTTAAACTCAATTGTAATTAATTCTCAACAACATTATTAATCAGTAAAAATTTATAGTTACCTTCATTATTGTAGTAATACTTTTCTTTTATCTATGGCTATATAGAATCTTTCTTATGTAGTCGGATAGAGCAAAAAATTGATTTACACAGTATTTCACATTTTTTAATTATATATTCACATTTGATGTTCACGTTTACACAACGACTTAACGGTTTTAGAAAATTATGTCGAATTGTAAAATAGTCATTCAATAACATGTAAAGATATGTTAAGTGTTATAAATATTATAAAGGAAAAAATACCATTGAGGTTCACCATCAGAATGAGCATTTTGTTATATAAATCACTTCATGCAGTACTTGCAAATTTATTTCGTACTAACGGCCCTAGACAATTAGAGATTAGAGTATAATGTATTCATATAAACGTTTCTCTCTCCCGATTTTTAAGTTCAGAAAGGATACTTAAAGGGTCCTCCGCTGGACGTGATGGCGCTGCTTTTGGCATTCAAATTAATGGCGCAAAATTTGAAATAAAAATTAATGAATTTTAGTAATCGGATATTTGAAACCAAATTTGGTATTACAATCGTAATATGTTTTGTTATAATACAATAATAACAAAAATCTACTAGATAATATTATATTATAATAAGTATACAATCAAATCGAAATGTAAATCAACAAAAACACTGTCAGTTTAAATATACATGATACTTAATCTACTGGAATAACTTCACACTTTTTTAACTTATTAATATAAACATTTAGTGTAATTTAGTGAATAATGCAATAGTGGTAACTATAGCCATTAACTAATAATTTTATACTTGTTTATATTTGTTTATGGTTTTATATATCTTATACTTGTTTATCTATGCTAATAATCATCCCGTGCAAAATTTGACATTTTTGACACCTGAAAGATTTCTAAATATTTTGTCTTTCTTGTAGAAGCTTATACTTGATTTCTTACATAATTTCCTAGAACTGGCTTCTTTCCTTAAAGTTTAATATGATTAGACTAATCTGTCAATGCACTATGCTTATTTATCTATGCACTACGTAGTATTTATGTCCTGTATCTGAGTTTTAAGCTGTTCTGTTCATTTTGTCAAAGGGCTATGCATTTGAGAACAAATCTTAATGAAATCTTTATTAACAAATCATATCATATACTCTTTTTTTATCTATGTAAATGATGATATGTAAATGTACAAACACAAATGAACAAGAATCACCATTTTTTCAACGGACACAAAAATAACACTGACGTTTCTTACCATATTTCTTACTAACCAACATAAAACACGTACTCTTCCTACTCTTCTTTTATCTATGATAAAACAGATAAAACATGGATAAAACATTTGATAATACTTTTTCATCGGCTCACTAGCGCCAAATTTGCGACTACCGTTGGACCCCTAAGTAGCCCTTCTGAACGCGGATGCTAACGGCCGTTGCGTATATTTACTGTCTATGGCTGACAATTAACCCTGCTTCTGTTCCAAGTTCCAACCTATAAATCTGTGACGCTTGAACGTGAATATATGAGTATGTACTTTCTAAATTATGATTTTAACGTGTTTTATATTTTACGTTAGTAATTTAATTATAATTAAATCTTACTTGTGAAACTGATTTCTGCTTACTAAAATGTTGATCTGCTGAAAAAGGATATTTACAATATTTTCTAATACTGATGGTATAAATTGGATTATGGTAAATTGAATTCGCTTTATACACGTGTTCTTGTATTTTGGCGTATACTGTCATTAATATATACAGAAAACTTACGAATTTTTCGAAAAATGCTCAGTTCATTGATTCACATGCTCAGTATTCTGGGAGGTTGACCTTATGTTTTTTTTTTTTTTTAATTATAAGTACTAGTTTCAACAGATTACATTATAATCTATAAATCACATGTGAGGATATTGAAAAATATTTAAATAAATGAATAATTATAAATAATTTATTAAAACAATTTTTCCATATAGAGCAGAAATGTTTATTGCCTGGACTGCCACGAACCGCTGGGTTATTTTCTTTTTAATTGTCTTAATTTTCGGCTGCTTGAACAGATTGTATTTCATATTTGCTTCTTATAACCTCTGCTACAGTAGGTAGTTTTAGGTCCTTGTAGATTATATGCTTGGTCATAAACCATGGTGCGTTGCTGATCATTCTGACTATTTTGTTTTGGGCTTTTTAAACTATGAGAATGCTGCTGGCACAATCTCACAGCTCTATCCCATATTGGAATTATCATCACTTATGTATGATAGAATCTTATTTCCGAGTGAGGGTTTGGACGATATCCCTATGAGCCAGTTAAATTTTTTCCTTTTTAGGCCCATTTGTTTCCTCTGGACTCGGAACACCTTGAGGAATATCAGAATTGATTGACAATGGAGAGGAGAGTTCTTCATTTATGTTAATTTGACAAGTCTTTTTAGATAAATATGCTTTAAAAATTGAGAAGTAAAAGTAGCAGTGGTCAAAAAGCATTTCCTTAATTTATATAGTAAAATTGGTTTAGATTTTATAGATAACAATTATTTTTTTTTATGGGCTCATTGAATACTCAGGTATTTTCAAAATACTAATAAAGTATTAGTCTACAAGACTATAATTATTCCAATCTGGATTTATGATATTCAACTTTGAGGCAGCTCCAACAAATAGAATATCGCCATCTTTATATATTAAATTTTATATATTATTATTATATTAAATTATATTAAATCATCATACTACAGATACGATTTTAATGTAAATACTATTCTTTATTTTGTACTCTTTTTTATCTAAATTTATGGTATTGTTCATTATTGTTACTAGTTAAATTATTATATGTTAAATTATTTAACAGTTGTAACAAATATTGTAATTAAAAGAAAAAAAACTTATTGAAGACATTGTATTCAGATTGTTATTATATATAGTAATGAAAAAAAAAAAAAAAAAAAACACCATTTAGAACACCCTAAGAAATCAAAATTTTAGAATATTTAAAATATAGTTATTTGTTTAAAATTTTAACTGACCTTTCATCTATTTTACATAGATTTATAATATCTGAGCTGTCATATAAGTTACAATAAGGTATTTTAGAAGTGTTAATGTTACATTTTCAAAGTGACTTCACCAGACTACATGTTTTAGTATAGATTATATTTGCCATTCTTATGAGAGCTTTGTAAATGCAAAGTATGGCTATTCTTAAAGATCATATCTTGCATTTATGAGGTTGTCATGGTTTTGTCATAACATCGAAATATTTCCACATCATGAGACAATTTTGAAGCAAGAAAAATGTTCTTCTAATTTGAAATCATAAAGATTTATGATTTTAGCTGATTTTAACTTGGTAACTATAGACATTTTTTCTTTGCTACAAGAGCTAATTCATGAGGGCCTTATCAATGCAAAGTGCGGCTGATGATAAAGATCACATTTTGCATTTATAAGGCTCCTGTAAATTTCTTCTACCATTTATGGAAATCCATTTCACTTTTATCAATCCTGAATAAATACATTAAACTTCTTAGTTATTGAACCCTTTTACATGGAGTTTTTTTTTGCATTACTTAATTGTTGTGAAAGGTCCTATTAATTTTTTTTATGGTTTGACTAAATTTAAAAACCTAATTCAGTAAGGTGCTGTGCGTAAGATAGTTATTTTAAACTTTTCAGTTAGTTTTAATAAATACATATCTTCCATGTAGTTTTAATAAATTATGTATACAAATTGTATTAAAATGCTGTACAAATTGTATTTCATAAGTTAAAATTTAAGGTGAATATAAAAATTCAATAAAAATTACTTCCATTTTTTAATTAGCTTTATTTCTGTGCAATTTCATAAATTTATTGAATACATAGTTGTTTAAAGAATTATATAAAGAAATGGAATATATTTACTTAAACATAAAATTATATATTAACAACCTTCTGTATTGTTGAAACTAAATTTTATGTGGTCAATTGGATCTACAAACAAATTAACAATGGATAGGGCATATTCATTTAAAATATTTGTACTATATATAATAGGCATTTTTTAAATCTCTGAATGTACTATTTAAATGGATACTCTGAATGTACTATTTAAATGGAACTAACTTTTGTATATGTAACTAATATTCTATTCGACAAAAGAGCGATTTAAGATTTTACTCAAGTTATATTTTACATGTTGAAATTTAAATGAGATGTAATTTTATTACAATGAAATAAACTATTTCAATATTACATGAGATGATCTTTTACACTGTGGTTGTAACATTCAATATAAACTTCACTAATCCATAACTTATCTCAAATTCTTAAATTTGAAAATAATCAACTTTTGAACTGAGTTCAGTTATGTGATATTTAAATGGTCCCTATGTACAAATATTTGAAGAATACTAATCTATAATCTTCATATACATGCCAACATCCATTTGTTATCAGAAGCAAATCTCATGCAAATTACATTTAGTTGAATTCACCAAAAGTAATGTTATGTTACAATGATTAATATGGTATTTAATAACCATTTATGAAAATAATCAGTATTAGTCCACTCATTTAAGCTTAAATTAGGTAAGAATCTCGGAATTCGAGATATCCAGCTGTAAGTCTGTAAATGCTTGTATATTGACACCCTAAAGTTGCTCAAAACCTACATATGGTAGGGTGACAATACCAATTACTATAATGACTGGACTATATTAATAATGTATGTAATAACAAATTATTAATACTTAAAAACAATAAACAATATACTAGTTTTTTTACTATAAAGTTGTTTCCATACAAATTCAATTAATTGTTTCCATACAATTAGTTATTTTCAGAATGCATGGTGAAATATTAGGGCATAACAAGAACATAGATGGCTAGTAGAAATTGTGAGTCAAAAAATTGAAAAATGATTTAAATTATGTATTTCATATATCATGAAAATATTTGGTATATTTGCATTATTAAAAAATCAGTGAATATATACAGTTATATCCCGCATAAGGTATGCCTCGCATAATGGTCGATGCGTAATAACGAACTTTTTTTCAAGGCGCGAACGTTCCACACAACATACTTTGCTTCACACAACCTTAATTCAAAGATTGGACATTGGAAATTTTTGTTCTGCTGTGAAAATAGACTTATTGAAAAAAAACTATTCATAGTATCTTTAAAAAAAAAAAAAACAAAAGGTAAAAGAACACAGAAGAAAGCAGTACAACTCTGATAACAACTTCTTTCATAAATCAGTAATATTTATTTAATTGCCTTACTATATGTAAAATAAATATGTTATTTTCTATGACCTACTACTACAGAACGAATTAATTTTGTTTTCATGTATTTGTATGAAAAAAAAAATGCGATTCGCATAGCAAACTCTTCGCACAACGAACTTTCTTCCGGAACGAATTAAGTAGGTTATGCGGGGTATTACTGTAGTGTATATAGGTTGGTAACTAAGTTTCAGCTTAGACGGTTTCAATATAAGTTTTATTTCATTTTTTATAAAAAATATGAGCTGTTTATGGAGACGAAACGTTAAAAAAAAACAGTAGTCTCGAAATTGGTTTGCTAAATTTCGTTCTGGTGATTTCTCACTCAAAGATAAAAAATGCTCTGGTCGACTTGAGGTTGATTGAGAGGGAATAGTCTACTTTGAACTGTTATCACCAATCGAACAACCAATTCCCATGTCGACATTATACAACTAAGAAAATTGAATAATACAGTTGAAAAAAAAAAAAATAAACCACCTGAATTGGCAAATTGAAACGGTGATTTATTCCGTAACATCACATATCTTTGACCACTTGGCAATCATTACTGAAACTTGGGTGGCATGTTTTGCCACATCCACCATACAGTACTACACCCTATCATTTCTTTTAGGTACGATCTTTACAAAACTCCTTGAATTTGAAATAATTAAATAATTATGATCGTGTCAAATTGCACCTGAGTTTTTTTTTTGCAAACCATTTTGCCAAACCAGAGGTTTCATAAAAGTGGGATAATGATGCTGCTCGAAAAATAACAAAAACAAAATTAAAAAGAACAATGCATTTCAGAATAAAGTTATTTAGTTCCATGAAAAAAAGGATGATTTTCTAACGAAAATTCGCATTTAGTTTCCAGCCTATATACATATATACATACATACATCAAATGTTTTTCTGCTTACATTTGTCTAACAATTTTTCATATATAATTTAAAATAACGCACACAACAATACTTAACACCCAGTAATTTAATCAATAATTTGAATATGTATGGAAAATGTGCATTGATCAGAAAATGTGTACCAAATAACTACTCATAGTAAAACATAGGATTATTTACATCTCATAAAATCTAGTTATAAACAACTAATACATAATATTGAAAAAAAAATGAATGAATTTGCATCAATGCATTTGTGAAATGAGAAGGACCGATATTAATCGAACCATTAGATTTACTTTATATATACGATTACTATAATTAAAATGTCTCACATTGTTAAGTTATATAGCACACATTTTAAGATTTATCTCCAATAATGTTGAGCTATGGAAATAAATATGAATTTTGTGCTTTTTTATATTCATGGTTTTTCTTCAGGTGCAAACAACTTATTTTTGGGTTATTTGAATATAAACAAATTATAATGATCTTTATGTACTATAAGGGGTTATTCTGGTCCATAATTTTGAAAATTACGATTTTTTTCAGGCCTCTCCATTTTGTGATAAAACAGTAGTTCAAACGCTTGTGACATTATTCTATATTAATGATATATATTTTTTTCTTCATATTATATGAAGGGCTTAAATCATAGGTATGATCAGGGCTAATTTTTCAAAAGTATTGTTTGCCTTTATTTAAGGCGTTTCAAAAATTGCATACAATTCATGCCTCTAGACCAGAAAACCCCCTTAAGTTAGTAAAAATATTAAAGTAATTGATGTTAATTCTAAAAAGATGTCATATTTCAAGATTCCTTTGGTTATAATAAAATTACATATTCAAAAAATGTTTATAATTATATCGAAATGCTTATACAATAAATCTACAATATGCTCAAGAATGATCCTGCCAATTCATTTCATATAAATATAAATCTATTTATATATGTATAAATTATGAAAATATTGAGAATCTAAATATTCTATCATATACTTCAACAGCATTTTAACAATAATTCCTAACTATGAATAAGCATAGTTTTTTTTAGCAAGCAAAAGAATTGCAATGCACTTAAAATTAATTGTTTAAAATAACCATTATTTTCACGCTGAGTGATTATCACTCAAATCCCATACATAAAATTTTATATAAAATATATATACATAACCCATTATGAATGAGTGCCAATCTTAAGTAAAATTCTAAAATAAATTGAGAAAAATGTAATAAATAAAATTTAACATATTGGTATTAAAATTGCATGACTATTCTTTTTAATTTACAATTCTAGTGAATAGTACAATTTGTTTTATGAATGTCAAGCAAAAATTATAATGCAAAAAGAAACTACTACAACTAACCTCAGTTCTGTACACAGCCAGGCAGTTTTAAATTTAGATTATTTTTCAAACGGAGCTAGACTGAGTCCAACTTGTGGTGTATGCAGCTCCTCAGCTGTCTTTGGCAAATCTTTCTCTACATCAGATTCAAGTTCTTGATTCACCCACATTTCATTCAAATCTACCAAATCTGGTTGCATTCCTGAATATGTCATTAATTCTAAACCAGCTGAAATGCAAAAATAAAGTATTTAAATAAATTTTGTATGACAATAATTTTTAATAAAAATGCCTTTTTTTATATTTACCATTTTCATTATAATTCCTTAATCGTGCACAGTCATCTTCTGTTAAATCTGAAGGATTCATAGTAATACCATATGACAAAGGATCATCACTACCAAATAGCTGAAAAATTATTTAAAATAATATATACTTTTAACAAATTAATACAAATTTAAACATAATAAATAACATTTAGGTATGAATTATGTGCCATGTGTAAGCAGGTGCATTCAAAGAACAGTAATCAAAATGAAACATCTTAGTAAACTTTGATATTCTCCCAGAAAACCATAAAAATGTCAACAAATGATTCATGGCTTTCACAAGAATTGTATAACATTATTTATATATAAATCAAGCACGCTCATTTATGTATAAATGATGTTTGTTTAAAACTCAACAACTCTGCGATTTCACTATTGTTAACTTAATCAAAAAATGATCAGAGTTTTATGCTAAACAAAAACTAGTCATATATGAGCGTGCTTGCCTTAAAAAACATTCCAGTGTCAACAGCTAAACTTTGCACTGAACTTCCAGGTAGAGGAGTACCACATACCCCAAGTAAAGCATTTGCATCCAGATATCCTTCCTCTTTAAGTAAATCTCGGAGAGATTCTAACTCGCCTTGTACATTTTCCAAATGCTGATCTACATCATCCCTAGAAATTTCACAATTTTTTAAATATGCTAGATAATTTCAATTAAAATGATATAACACATAAATAAAAGTAACATATTAGATATAAGTTCATAATTTTAAAACCAACTTAATGTTTTAGTTTTTAACAAATATGTATAATTTGTTTTATTTAATAATGAAAAAAAAGTATAAATAACTTTTAAATCTAAACGATTTTATAAAATTTTTTTAAAATGATATAAATATATGTATTTAATTTAAAATTTAGTATGAAAGTCAAAATGAACTACAAAGTCAGAATAAATTAGAAGCAGAAGTTGCACATACTTTGAATTTAATCTATCTAAGGTTTTATGACTTGCAGAAGATACTGTAGCTAATGCCATATCATTTGTGAGATTCTCTTTGGACATTTTCCGTTTAACTAAACTTTGGTTGTTGTTGTTTCCTGAATCTAGCTTAATTCCGCCACTGACCAAAGGATCTAAGTTTTCTACGGTTTGCTCCCGAATATTCTGATCCTCAAATATAATATCGGGAACAACAAGATCTTCATTAACCGAAGTATACTTTTTATTTTTATCAAATAATAAAAGCTTAGATGTGGTATCTTCATCATTGTTTGTATTAGTTGCAGATTTACCACTTGATGCTGAAGCAATACTATTGACATTTAATAATTCTAGTGGGTCTATTTCTTCTGCAACAAAATGCTGAACTTCATCTGATGGAGCATTTTGTACAAATTGAACAGGTATAACATCCTCTAAGTGATTTGGACTTGGCTGACCAGTTGACCTTGGGCTGGCTATTATAGGTTGCGATGTACAAGGTCCTAAGCTAAGAAGAAAATTTTAAATATTATGCATTTACATAAACTTTTATATTAATTATGTTACATAAAAGGAAATCAATCAAGGAAAATCACTTACACATATTCTTCATCCTCAACACAATCTTCTAATTCAACTGCTAATTCATTGCCAGAGCTCTCAGTTGCCAATTCGTGGATTGTGGGTCCATTAGTTGTTGTTGGTTTTTTAGCAATTGTAACATTATTTGAACTAGTCTTTGCAATTTTTGCTGGATTGGGACTGTCACCCAGCATAAGTTGAAAAGGTCTCTTCACTCCCATGCTCATAGATGGTAAATGAGCTGCACGGCCAGGTGTTACAATAGACACAAGGAATTGAATTAACTATAAATGAATACCTGGTTAGTGTTTTATTATCAAAAAGTATGTTTCTTTGTAAAATTAAAATGCAAAAAAATATTCTTAATACTGGTTACTTTTAAGGTTTAATTGAAAAAAAAAAAAAAAAAAATATATATATATATATATATATATATATATATATATATATATATATATATATAATAAACATCTCGAAGTGTTTTTCTTAAGTGCGAAGAATATGATTATCAAAATCTTAATCTGAGCTTTCTTGTAGTAAAACTAAGTGTGAAGACGTATTATGAATGAATACTAATCAATTAATAAAATAATTAATACTTCAATCAATTACTTTATTAACTATTTGCTGCTGTTTTAAATGCTTCTGCCTTAAAACAGCCACCTCTCTCCATAACGCTTTATTTTCTTGCTTCATTGCAGAAAAACGTGCGTCCAATGATTCTTGTCGGCCTTTCATGGATTTTACTTCATTTAATACTCTGCTCACTTCCTCTATATTTGATATCGACTTTGATTCCAATGATTTTACATTTGTTACCTAAGAATAAATTAACATTTGACATATTTTGGAGATGACAAAATATGTTATAAAAGTGAAATACATTATATAACATGAAGTTTTATCATAACTCTCTACTTATTGTTATTATAAAATTTCTACATGAAACTATGACTTGCATAAATAATACAATTATTATTGATTACTCTTTGCAGCAAGTTTAAATATTAACAAATCCAACTAAAATTTGCAGTATAACAATGAAAATATTTATACTTAACACTATTCCTACCGACATTTCATGTTTGCTATTCCTACCGCGACCGGTCAAATGACCGGTCATGCTAAATCGGTATTTTTGGGTATTGAATGAAGAGTTAATGCTAGTTTGAGAGTTTATAAATACAAATACAATATTGTTCTTTTATTTTAGAATGCAAAATCTACATTTTATACTGTTTTATCCAATTTCTCACGATTTTTTTTCTCAGAGTGTATTTTCTGCACACGCATTTTTTACGTTTTTGGCTGATTTTGTTTGCCCTATCATCTTTCTAAAGCATTATCTGGAATATTTTCTTTTAGGGAATCTGTTTTGTACTTGTACTTAGTTGATTTTTTTCTGAATTCTTGTTGCAACTATACGGCAAGTTAATTGGAATAGAAAGTTCCAGCCTTGTACATTGTCTTCCCGTAATTTGTTTATGTGACAACAATGGATTTATCCTGAATAAATCCAAAATATTGTAAATCCTTGATGAATTCTCTCTAAAATTCATATTTTACCGAATGATTTCTGACTGTTTTATGAATGACATCTACACCAGTCCCGACGCTAATACCAATTGAATTAACTCCCATATTACTGTAATTTTTTCAACATATGTGTATGTAAGTGAAAATTAGAATCTTCTTTCTTATCTTACAAAATTGTAAATATTATTTGAGTGTTGAAGTCCTTGATTTTTAGTCCTGCCAGTATTTATAGCAGTTATATTGCTTCAATTGTACCTACGATCAGTTTTTTTTACTAAAAGTTTAGCTATATGTAGGATGGTAAAAACGTATATTTTTTACGTCGTACTAGCGATTTTGATAATACGGTTTCATCAGTTATAAATTTTCAAAGAAATTCTTAGTTTGCTGCGTATACTGGATGGTTACCAAAATTTTACACCCCATTTGTGCGATTTGCTGGGCATAATTATATTTACATCGTATATTGAACAGTTACTAATAATTATACGTTTTCCTGAATACTATTGAACATGTGTTGAATAAATTTACACCTTACCTTTATTGAAAATATATGTTCGTCGATAGTAATACGTGGACTTTTACAACAATTTTGATTGCTGTCAAGGTAGTTGAACCAACTTTTGGATTCAAAACAAAACCTATCAATTTGTTGTTTGGATTCCTTCGTAAAAAATTGTCTACACATAGACATTGAGCAAAAATGAGAAAACCCACTTTTTATACCGTAGAAATGCAATATTTATACTGCTTGCCTCATTTGCGCAGCGTGCATACAGAATCGAAAAAAATGCATGTAAATTTGCAGAAAGCAGTTTTTACCAGTCTAAATTCTTCTGAATTTACATTTTCTTGTAAGTTCGATCATATTCTTAACAATTACTATAAAAAAACCCGTCCGAACATCGTCTTTCGTACTACCGGTCAAATGACCGGTCGCGGTAGGTAAGACAGTATACAATTTTTTTTCCAAAAATAAAAATTGAAAAAACAAATTAACATTGAAAAATGTTTCATACTCACATATTAGGAAAAGTCATAAAGTTTGATGACGATTCAATTACGTTTGATATGAAAAATACTAATCGAAAAATCAAAAACGGTCATTTGACCGGTCCTGGTAGGAATAGTGTTAAATTAAATATAGCTCCAAAATAAAATAAAATACCTTTCTTTTTATGTGTTCAAGCAAGTATGGATGGCCTTTTAAAAAGCACATGTGAGAAAATTCAATTTCGTCTTTATCAAATTTGAGACTACCAGTTTCAGCAGAAGCAACCTTATGAAAACCATCTAAAAATATATCAGTGTTAAGTATACTTAATTATGTTAACTATTAAATGACTCATGGTTATTTAATTATGATACTTACACATATTTAATTGTCGAATAAAACTAGCCATATTGTTGTGCTTGTAGTTCAGAGGAAGTAATTCACGTGCAAATTGAGCCTGATTTCGAATCACAAAACTCAAACCATCCTATAAAAATTTACCATATTACCTTAAGAATTACACAAATTATGGATAATTTTAAACATGGATCAAAAGTGAGACCTTGAAAATAGTCCTCTGCATATTATAACAAAAATTTCAATTGAAGGCCATTATTTTAAAAGATACATTTGAGCATTGCAGCTTTTGTTATATATTTTTTACATATTAGCATTTAATTTATTTGATTGTTAATTATCAAAAACCATTCCTCACATATTCTATATTTGTGGTAGTTACATTTTTAGATTCCTTTCAAATATTTTTATAAATTTACTTGACATTTCGTATAGTTGTTTGGAGGTTATAATATTAAATTATATCATATATAATATATATTAATAATAAAATTGTATTAAACATAACAAATTGTTTTTGATATATATATAATAATGAACATGCACTAATGTGCACGGCATTATAATCCATATGACATATAAAATTTAATATGCCATGATTAAATTTCCAAAGTTATAATAAAAGAAGGATCTTTTATCAGGATTTTACAATCTTAATATTAAGAGCAGAATAGGAAATATTTCTTTTAAAGTTTTAGCTATCAAATGAATCACGACGTTAATGTTTTCAAAATACCGCTGTTACTACTATTACAAAATAGAAAACAACCAAGATAATAAATAAGTGCTGAGTAATCAAACTTTGTAATATCGACAAAACAACCAAGATAATTAGAAACAAATTACACAGATAATGTCCATATAAAGACATGAATACTAAGGTATTATTAGTCATCCTAATGAAAAAAGTGGGTGTCAAAGCGAGAAGACCTCTAAAATTCCAAAAATGTCAGGTGTTAAATTTCAATCCACTTACCGAACTCCATGAAATTAAATGATCTGTTTCTGGATCTTCCACAAGTCGCCATAATTTTCCTAAAAAAGCCGGCACTGTACTTCCAAATTCAGTCACTGAATGCATACTTATTGCATTAATTCAATCACAATTTCTAATTTACGCAGTTTTTACCACTAGCATATACATAACTTTTGCAATACGAGACAACTGAAAGATCAGAAATATCTGTATTAGCGCACTATTACCAACTCGAGAACGTCATATGTTTCGAAAATCACGGACTGATCATGGGTGTACTGGAATATGCGTTATATGCGTTCTATTCAAAATGTAAAGAAGGCGCGCAGAATATTAACAGACAAATGAATACATTAAATTTTAATATTGTGTAGGGACAAATGCATTGGAGATGGGTTGAAACTAGATAGATTTTATTTTTATTATATAGGATTTAACCTTTAGATTTAATTTAAAATTTCAAACTTGAATTGATTATTATATTTAATATATGAATAAATGTCATAGCCAATATAAAAAGAAAAGAGCATTATGCCCAAATAAAAATAAAAAGAGATTTAATTTATATATATTTATATATATATATATATATATATATATATATAAATTATATATTTATTTCTCTTAAGAAATATTTATTTAGTTATATATTTATTTATGTTAAGAAGTATTTGCTTAATCTGCACATTTATTATCACCTGTAAAATATAATTATATATATAAATATATATATATATATATATAATTAAATTTTACAGGTGATAATAATTGTGCTGATTAAACAAATACTTCTTAACAGAAATCCATTCGAATAATAAAATAGAAACTAGTTGGTATTGGTATTTTTCCTTGAGGCAAGTTACATGAACTTCCCGATATGTGTAAATAATCGACTTATTCAATAAAAATTGAATTAACTTGTGAGTGATTAAGAGTATTCCCAGTAGATTTATTTCACATAATTGTATTCCCAGTAACGTTAACTCGAAAACAAACTAACGTTAACTCGGAGTATTTTGTAAAAACAATTTCAAAAATCAATAATTTTTATAATTGAACCAGTTTCCGTAGGACTTTAATGGTTTAGTATGTTCATTAAAACCAATTATACTCTATCGTTATACCAAGTAAATCGTCTAATTTTAATTTTAACAAACATCAAAAAAACTACTCATTTTCTCAAACTTTGATGAATTTTGAAAACTAAACGTCGTAAGGCCGTAATAATTCAGTAAGTTCTATAAGACCAAGATAAATATCGCCAAAAAAGTTCCATAAATTAAATTTTTTTCAACGGTTAATTACAAGAAAACGGCTCAGTAGATTTTTACCTAAAATTAATCAATATCATTCAATTTTGATTTTTAAAATCGATTCGGTAGTATGAGTTTAAATGTCGACGAAACACTTTTTTCAAATTACAAAGAAACGGTTAGGCAAATCGTCTCACAAAATGAACAAACAATAAATTTGGTCTCATTGATTCAGAATAGCTTGAAACGTCGAGAAAATATAAAATTGAAAAAAATCGGATTTTATATGAAAACATACACTTCTCCTTCGGAAAGTTAATAAAACACTTCTCCTTCGGAAAGTTAATAAAACTAAAAATGTTTCTTAAAATAAATTTAATTGATCCATATATGTCGAGAACCAATTTGACTCTTTTAAGCTTAAATTTTAGCTTATTTTAAGTTTAAATAATTAATCTTAATTAAATTATGCATTTTCTGATGAAAGTTTAAGATTTTACATGAACAAGAATACGCCCACTCTTCTTTTATCTATGAATACGCCACTGTTTACGCAGGTGTGTAACTTGTTCTTACCTTCACGTTGGTTTTTATGAAAGTTCACTGTGGATAAATAATTGATGATTTGTAAATTAATTCATTATAGTGCAAGAGAAAACCTCGTAAAATTTTGTTAGTCGCATTTTAGTTATAGCCAGACAATGGAGGTATTGGATATTACTTAAGTAAATGGCAAATAATCGATAATCTGTCAATCATTAAATATTTCTAGGTTGAAATCGTGAACGCAACCGGTGCCAAAGTATTTGGAAAATGCAGTGTATCTCCATCAACCACTATAAAAGACTTGAAGAAAGAAGTCCAAAGGTTAAACAAAGCCCTTCCGCCGAATCGACAGTCGTTAAGGCTAGAACCAAAAGGAAAAGCTGTCAAAGATGACGATACCTTACAAAGCTTGGGTGTAAAATCAGGAAACAAATTATATGTTAAAGATTTAGGCCCACAAATTGGTTGGAAAACTGTATTTTTAGTAGAATATGCAGGTCCCTTGGTTGTGTATTTATGGTTATATCAAAGACCATGGATATTTTATGGAGAGCAAACTATTTCGACTATGAGCACTTGTGCACAGTATGTATTGTAAATGATAGTTTGATTAAATTTCTTTTTTTTACTAAATCAAAGCAAATTAAATAAATAAAAAGTAATTATCATTAAAAACTGTTTAAAACATTATTACACAATGTATTGAATTTCTAATATATTTAACATTTCTGATATATAATAGAAAACATAACACTCAAATCTAAGTAACAAAGCCCTTGATATTATTCACATTGACATACTTTATGTATTTTTAGAACATAAATTAACAATTTAGTATTGTTGGAATAAATTTAATTTATTTTGCAGTATTGCTGCTGGATGTTGGACAGTTCACTATGCCAAGAGAATTTTTGAAACATTGTTCATTCACAGATTTTCACATGCAACAATGCCGTTACGCAATTTATTTAAAAACTGTTCATATTATTGGCTATTTGCAATGTATGTTGCATATCATGTCAATCATCCACTCTTTACTAGCCCGTGCATGTATCAAGTATATACTGGATTGGGTTTGTTTACGGTGAGTTAATTAATTTATAATTTCTTATGAGATAAAATTACAACATTCAAAAGGTGTTAAAGTTAAAATCAATTTTATTTTATTATTTATATGTTATTGAAAATTATTACGAAATTCATCAACATTTAATAAATTAGTGAAGTTATAGAATAATATCAAGTATTTGATAGATATAAGAATGTGAAAGGGTATTTTTTCTTAGGAGTATATGAAAAATTGTGAATTACTCTCTCTGCTATTTTTATTATTATTATACCCTTTTTAGGTTTGTGAATTAGGCAATCTATCTATACATTGGGCGTTGAGAAATTTAAGACCAGCAGGATCAACTGTGCGTAAGATTCCTGTTGCTACAAATAACCCACTTACTTCACTTTTTAACTTTGTTTCTTGTCCTAATTACACATATGAATTTGGAGCTTGGTTTGCGTTTACCATAATGACACAGTGCTTGCCTGCTGGTTTATTTGCATTAGCAGGCATGTACCAAATGACAGTGTGGGCTCTCGGCAAACACAGAAATTATAAGAAAGAATTTCCAAATTATCCTAAGAGTCGCAAGGCTATATTGCCATTTTTGTTATAAATTTTTTCATAGAATATTTGCGAACATTAATTATACTCTAAGGGAATTGATAAAATGACTTAATTTTCAATTATTTTGCATTTGGGTGATGCTAATAATAATATGAACTTAGTAATATTAAGAGATGATAGCAATTAAGTTTTACTATATTTACTATACTTTTGTTGATTTTTTATTGTTCAAGGTAATTTTGTAATATAAATGTGTTGTTATAGAAAATGTGAATGCATTTATAATGTGTTACCTTGACCAAAGGTGAACTGTGGGATATAGTGGTTTTGTTTGTATTAGTATTCTCAATCTGTTGTGAATATATGATATTAAGGAATGTGGTATGTATGTGCATGGTGAAATGTTATCTTCAATAAAGATTTTTAAATACATCTTTATATCTCTTCTTATTTGGGATTTTGAGAGTTTTAGGATTCTATTTTTTTGTTTCTCTAGATGAGTTTTTAATTCTGGTAATACTGTATGAATGCAGTGATACTGAATTAAATTTGATTTAATCTGAAATCCCCTTTTATATTAATAGGGGGAGTCTTTTTATTTTTGTTTGTAGAAAACGAAAACTACTATTATTATTTTATTAGATCAAGAGGTGTCAAAATATAAGTTAATCAAATAAACTTTTAAAGGTGAATATTTCATTAATTTCTTCTTTAATTGTATAATCATCTTCAATTTGAATGGGTTTTTCATTTAGCTTCTCTGAAAGTCTTGTATTTTCATCTCGTAGAATGTCTACTAGTTTCTTTATGTTGACCATTTTTGCTTCATATCTTTTTTCAATGGCTTCTTTTTCTGTAACAGCTTTTTCGAGTCTGTCTCTTGCTTCTTTGGGTGTGACTGCCTTACCTGATGCTCCTATTAAAGCAGTTAGATCAGCAGCACGGTGCTGGGTTACTTTTAATTCCTTTCGCAAAAAATTTATTTCGGCTATTAATTGTACATTTTCCTGAAATATTGAAAAATTACTGGTTACTTTATTTTTAGTAACGATGTGAAAGTCTTTCTATGTGTGTGCGATTCATATTTTAGTAGGGTAAGGTGGTACATGTTATATGTGTCACACTGGTACAATGCAAAAATACCTTCGATTTTGTAATTCACTTTTATAAACTACTAGCTGACCCGGCAAACATTGCTTTGCTAAGTAAGGTATATTCTAAACAATTTCTAGAGAATCAAAAATATTAATACTTTGAGTGTATAAGGATGTCTTGTTTCAATGCTATATACAATGAGGCATTATAAAAACAATAAATCCCATTAGTTTGTCTATATTTTGTCAACACAATCAAACTGGAAGTTTTATACACTTTCTATAGAAAACATGGTATAATCCAATCCAAGTCTTTTTTTAGTCTTTCGCCTTATTGATTACGTTTCAAGTTTTTCAGATTCTTTTTGGATTCTGGATTTTGTGTATAATTGTAAATAATACTACTGAAAATATACAAAATTTTCAAATTCTTGCGAGAAGAGATAAAAAATGAATTAAGTATTTCTTCTTTGACCTGCTATTTGAAAAGTTTCAAGTAACATTCGATGAATTAAAGTAAATTTAATTAAAAGTATATATGTAGAACAGGGCGAGGCACAAAGGTCCAATTTGACTTTGAGCAAATATAAACTATATTGTGAAAACCATAACAATTATATCACAACAAATAACAAATTTCAAGACAAAATATAAATAAATAATAACAATATGGAAATATTCACAATCGCAAGAAAAGAATTTTTAAGAAATATCTCATATTATTGTTACTTGTTTCGTTATTTTGAAAAAAGTGGTCTGAATTATCATTTGTTTTCTTTCCATCTATTATCATTTGTTTTTTTTTTTTTATAACAATGTGCCCAACCTTACCTAAAACAGGTCGAGGATTGAGTACATAAAAGATAATTTTAGTGCGACATATTTGATTGACAAGTGATATTTAGAATCTATTTTATACAATTCAATTGAAAACTTACATCCATAATTTTAATAACATCTTTTCCTGTTGATTTGATGCCCGCATTTAGTCTTCTCTGCAAATTTGCAATCATAGTTTCTAAGTGCATACGTTGACGAGAAAATTCTTCATGGACTTCTTTGTCTTGTGGGCGCAGCTTTGCTGTATCGGTATCATCATCATATTTATGGTACATTTTCTAGGAGAGAGAATAATGAGATATGAATTGAATGTTGAATTTGTGTCTTGTGAGGATAATTATAGAAAATCGACAATTGGTAAGTTTGGATCACTCCAAGTACTTGGGAAGCATTCTGATGCTGAGCTCGTCTTGCAAAAGAGGCTAATAAATTATTATGTCTCGAGCATAATTCTTCATGGATCCGAGACATGGACCCTAACAAAGGACGACAAAAACTATCTGGACTTCTGGAGAGTTTTGAAATGTGCTGGAGACGAATGGAGAAAATAAAGTGGACCGACAAATGAAGCAGCCCTGAGAGGAGTGGGCGATGAGAGATCTCTACTGAGCACGATTTTTAAAAAGAAAGGAAACTGGATCGGATCCATCTTGCGAAAAAAGTGCTTTCTACATGACATCCTCAAAGGTAAAATAGAAGGACTAAAATGATTTATAAGAAGAAGAATGCAGATGGTGTTGAAAACGAAGCACAGGATAAAGAGCGAATAAAAGGTGATTAATGGTAAACGGAAATCATTGATTTGTGTTGTGGTGCTCTCATACCATGGAATTGCCTTTGGGCAGACTACTATTTATTATTATATATATTCATATGATTAATAATAAAATATATGTTTGTAGCATACGCACATCGCCTAATTTTATAACCACTTATAATTTTACAGTATTTATAATTTTATTAATTGATTTGAAAATATTTCGAATTTTTAATTACGATACAGGAAGTTCGAGCAATTTGGCTTAAGGCATAATGCTATGCCCCACTAGTTTTCATTTATTAAATAATAAAAGATAATAAAGTGTAATCCGTAAGGATAAATATGTACGTATAATATTATTACCCGAATACAGTTGCGCAGTTTGGCGGGTTCTTGTAAAATTCCTGACGCCTTGTGCAAATCATTTCGCACATTTGTTAAAATTCTGTTCGATTGCCTGACTTTTAGTTGTTCTTTTGCAAGCTCTGCTTCGGCTGCTGACACTTTTTCAGTCATTTCCACTAGTTTCAGATCTGGGAAAATAATTAACTTAATTACTATTATATTGTTTAAATGTGTATATTTGCGCATCGGCTGGAACTCCTTTAAAAAAGAGCTATATTTCAAGGAATATTTATGTAAAACAAAATTAAAGCGAAGCTCGAGTTGATGTTTTCATATTACGATACAAAGAATTGCATGATAGGGGTATATGTATATTGTATTTCTACAAGTGATTATTAATATAGCTATAATGGTATTTAAAAAGGTATGTTAAAAATATAAAAAATGTTATCTTTAATAGACTATTACCTAATCCCGCATTTGCTTTTTGTAAGCCTTCGAGTTCGATTTCCATCTCAGTAATCTGTTCTTTCTTTTCTCGAATCTCACGCTCTTTAGGCTCAATTTGATTTTTGAGTTCTTTAATTTTGTAGTTTAGTACAAATTTGTATTTATCAAGTTCTTGATTTTTCCGTTTTAGAAGGGCAATATTGTTTTCTTTGTCTTGAATTATAGCATCGCGTTCCCCAATTTCTTTCTTCATATCTTGAATGTCCTGCTCTAGACCCAAAATGATTTGTTGGAACTTTTCTACTTCGGCTAATGACAAAATGAAGTTGTTAAAAATTTATTTATTAAAAAAATCAAAATTATCAACTTGATAAATTATCATACATCATACCTTGGAAATTCAAAACTTGCGCTCTGGTAAGTTCCACTTCCTTTTGAGTCGCCGTGTATTTTTTTCTCAGTGCTCCCAAATCTCCACGAAGTGTAACCTCTTTATCTCTTTCAGCCTTAAATATATTATGATGATTGAAAATTATATTTACTATAGGATGTCAATCGTATTACCTTTAATTTAGTTTCGTAAGTCGTTTTCAGATCAATTAATTCTCTATCAGCATCGTCTTGAGTTTGATTTTGGGCTTCTTGGCATTCGCGTTCTTTTTGACGAATTTCTGCTTGCAACTATATAAATTTGATTGGTAATATAGATCCAAACTTATGAATTGTAGGAATGTGATTAACTAATGATTCAGATAAAAATATTTATTTAAACATATATGAATAAATATTTGTATATGGCGGAATAATATATCTAATCTACCAATTATCATTATTTATTTTATATATAGGTTACAAAATGATTTTTAAGTTAATGGGAGAATGGAACAACCGATTTGATTAATTCAGAGTATAATTTGGATTTTTGTCGGGCTATATCAGGTATAAATAACCACGTTTTTGCTTGATCTGGTAATTGCAAAAATGTAATTATTATACGAAATTTTGGATTTAGTACTATACTATTGTGCAATTATTAACAAAATTTTATAATATTATAATAATTAGGGGAAATACGGACAAAATGGTATATATGGTTAAAATGACACAGTAGCCTTATTTAAAATCGACTAGTTTTAATAACGTTTTCGCCTTTGTATAACATGAAGAAAGCCATAATAACAATCCTGTCAGACGTTGAGCGTGATTGTCACAGTCTTGTCGGAGTAATCAGTTCAACGTGTTTCACGCCTTGAAATATTCAATCTTATTGGTCAAAAAGAGGCATATTCGAAACTCCAATATTTCGATAAACTATACCATTTTGGAGAGTTATTTAAAGAACTATATTAAGTCCTAGGTCGATAATAAATTAGTTTAGAAAATATAAATCTTTTCCTGGCCACTCCTAGACATCGAACACTAGTCCAGCCAGTTACCCTTCTTGTACACGTGTCGGTAAATTTCTTGCCAGCGCAAGTGGTTTAATAAGTATATATCATTAAAAAATAAAACACCATGTTATTTTGTTCGTGATTTTGAAATCCGATCAAAACTCATGAAAATAAGTTCAATAGTTTTTATAGCATTTGAATGATTCAAAAAAATTAAGGAAATAGTATGTTTCATTACACCGACAATGGATAAATATTATTGAATAAAACAAGTTTAAAGAAATTGTTTTGTGTATAAATATACATTAAATTCACATTTACCTCTTCGATTACAAGGTTCTTGTCTTCCAATTGAGCCATATGGTCTTCCCCGGCTTGTTGAAGAGCTGCTTCCATTTGAGCTGCCAAATCTTTTAGTTTGGCTTCGTAATCTTTTCGCATTTGATTCGTTCGATCTTCGAAACGAGAATATTTATCATATTCGACAATTAATTTTTCATTGAAAGCTACTTCCAATTCTTGTACCGCGGCGTCGTGTTCTTCTTTAGTTTTTTGGATCTCGGAATTAATCGCATTCAATTCTTGAGTGTGGTCCATTTCGAGTTGCTGAGATATATATTTTGAAATAAGCATTTGATGTGTTACAGGAGTTGCAGGAGAGAGTTTGAGTTTGTGTATTTATTGGAATAATTTATGTAATAAGTATTGCAAAGGCTATTTACTGATATTTATTTGTATTTTTTTTTAAAAAAAGTGGTAGCGGTATAAAACATCATTTAAGCAATAGAAACAGATACATATTCAATACAGTTCATGTTCTAACTCCGAAAATAGATCTAATGTTGTATTATTATAATACTTTACCTTATTTTGAGCAACTAATATATAATATTTTAATATATTATTAAATATAATATATAATGTTTTTAAATAAGAGTTATTTTTTTAAATATCGAATTAGTATTGAAATATTGTTCCTAATATTTTTTATGGATAAAGTATAACTTTCTATTTTCTTTCAACCAATAAATTAATAACATTAAAATATTTTTGAATAATAAATAAAATATTGCAGTAACATTTTTAACATGCACATTACGAATATTTGACTCTGCTTAAATGCCTATAGTTAGCGACAAATTAAGTAGAATGTATTCCGACATTTCTATTTGCCGTAACTGTCATTATTTGTTTTCCTCAATATAGTATAGGACGAATTGGTATTTATTAAAATATAGTATTAATTAGCACACGAAAAAGATTTCTGTTATGAATAATACTTGTATATTTTTTAACCCGTAGTCTTCTTATCAAAAATCTTCTTATTCAACATACGACGCGAAGTAAAGAATTATTAATATCTCATTTGAGAAATGATTGCTTAATAAATAATAAAGCTAGTGATGTGAGGGATTTTTGCATGTAGTCCCGATGCAAATTGAAGCAGCTTTTGTAAACCACGATGTAATTTTCACCTATGATCATCTCATTAAAATTTAATGAGTAGCAAAACCACCTTTACGCGTTTTCATAAATATACATTGTTCATTAATTCGTTAGAATTTGTTCATTAAATCCGAGTCGGCTAAAAATAATTACCTTCAGTATTTAATTAACCCCTTTGGCATAGACTTATGGCGTTACTTGAATTATAAATATTTTTTTTATATTCCCATATTTTTGAATACAATAAATCGCAACGGGATTTTGCACAAAATTAATTATTCAAATTTGAAAGTATATAGGTGAATACTTTATGGAATGGGATTTTGCAACTATAATGAAATACCTTATATACGTTTACATTTAATAGTAAATAAAGTAATAGTAAAGTAATAAAGTAAATAAGATTTTATTGAATAATTTAATGTTTATATTACATATATAAAAATGTTACATATTATAAAAAAAAATTACTAGGTTTATTGCATTGTCATTTTTTACGTGTTTTTGATTGTGGTTCTAGAAATGTTATTCACGGTTACGGTTTTAAAGTCCAAATAGTAAAAATTTACCACATTAATCGAAAACTGGTCATAATTTCACCAAAGTATTAGGTTGCACTTAAAAGCTCATAATTTCCACACAGCGTGAGATAATTTTTACAAAACTATATAATAATTTTATGAAAAAATTTGCTTATAAATTATAAATATAACATAGCGAATTTTAGAATCGACTTTAATGCTCGTTTTTTTAGATAATCTAAACTTATCTTCTCTATAAATATTAAATTTTAAATAATCTTCGACAATTTATAAATAAAAAGCTTTAAGAATAATATCATGAACCTATAGTATTCCAGTTTATGCATTTATTTATATTTCGAATGGAAGCTGTAATCGGTGATATTTAAGAGTATTTTAGACTATATCTAATAAATAATTGATTTTTTTTGTAGTAATGAACTAAATAAATTACTGTTATTATTAGTATATTCTTGGCATGCTTGGAAGATGTGACATTGAAATGAAGCAATACTATAAACAATTATTTAATATTTTTTAATTGTGAATAATAATTAACGAATATATAAAAACGTTTAATATATACGTAGACTTTATTTTTATTCAATTCATATACTCAAAATCAATATTATTTTAGCTACTAAATTTATAAAAAATTGCAACAAAAACAAAATATTTTATTAGTATGCGAGCCGTTATTTTGATAAACAAATTGCCTTTTTGGGCAAGAAATCAAGATCTGTATCACCTCATTTTTCTCCTTGAGTTCCTCGATGGCGTCGCAATAGCCCCGATGCACTTCTCGCATTTTCTCCGAATGAAAAGCGTCTCCCTGGCGCATCTGATAAGCGTGCTCGTTTTCGATTTCCCGCATCCGTTTCTCTAAACCCTTTTGATCATAAAAGATTCGGTTAGTTTAGTAATTTAGCTATAGTTTCTGAAATTTTTCTCATCTATTATAACATATACAAATCTATTTTTTCTTTTTATTATATATATATATATATATATATATATATATATATATATATGCCATTGAGAGGATGTAGGAAAAGTATATATTCAAAACATTTATATTATGAATATATACTTTCCCTACAACCTCTCAATGGCAAACATCTGTAGCATGACGCATTTTCAAATATAATTTTTAGTGAATGTACAATTTAGTTTGTGAGTGTTGAATTTAGAATCAATTTTACATCCAAATTTTGAAAAGGGGACATGTTATATCACGTTTCAGTGAAAATTAAATAATTACATTTTTAGTTTAATTTTTATTTTCGTTTAGAAAAAAAAAATCATAAATAATAATAGCTATCTAGGAAAACTTAAACAATGTATGTATACATATGTATTTGAATATATATCTAACTATGAATGAATATTTTTTAAATATCCGACCAATTTATTAAATAAAAGTTCCAGTATATGTTGCGCGTTCTGATTTTACTCATGTTCAGTGCGATACATACAAATTAGATATAAATCCTTTACTAACTGATGATAACTTATAAAGTTATAAAACAAAAAATATGAAATTAAAAACTATGAATAGATAAATGTCTTATCAGAATATAAAAATGCCACAAACCAATGTTAGCGTTATGGTGATTTGTATTTAAACTGTTTTATTTATGGCGCGGAAGATAAGTCAAATCAAACTAAAGTCAAATTGTCTAACTAAATTAATGAATTATCTGTCTTAGTAATTAATTTAATAATTGGGTGGATACCAGAAAAACTTATTATATATTATATATATATATATGTGTGTATGTGTGTGTGTTTTGGTAAATATTCACAGAATGTCAATAATTTCACGTGAATTTAAATTCAAAATCGTTTATTTTTTTATTGAAAATAATATAAAATCTACATAATATTTACCGTCATTCACTACAAATATATTACGTCTGTAAGCCCTGATATAATTCCGAACATAATTACGTGTTTACGCAAAAACTTTGTACGCAATGTACAAATGAGCAAACAATATACGAAATTGAATGATTAAATTTGATTCTCTAAAGCGATAATGCATGTAAATACTGTAATTAGAAAATTATTAATTCGTGAAGTAATTATCCGAATGCGGGAAATGTGTTAATTACTAGTAATTATTAAAATTAAATACATCCAATCATTATGAATGCGCTCGCTATGGTGTTGGCTGCTTGGGGAGGTTAAACTAATTAATGTTTAATTGAACTTTAGTTATTATGCATGCGATTTACTGTTTCAGGAAATTGTACTATGATTATTTATATTGTATAATAATCTTTGGAAAAACTTCGTCGACGTCTATATTCCTTTTGCTTACTTTTTAAAACATTAACAGATTAAAAATCTAATTAATTAATAATCTAATTAGTATTTACTAATATTTTATTTAATATTTTATGTTTATTTCATTTAGTGAGGTAAGCAACAGATCCACTATACAAAACAGAACTATGCAGGCAATAAATTAATTCTAAAATCACATAGCTCGTTTTATTTATTAACTGATATAAACGAGTCACAAAACGATACAATAATTTTCACTAAAATATTGGCTTTTATAATAAATTGATGAAAAAGCGAGGTTCTTAGAATCAATTTTTATGTCCGTTTCTGTAGGTCATCTAATATAAACTTCGAATTAATCTGCTCATTTTATTTATTAATTAATATAAATAATTTGATTCAGAATATAAAATATTAGTTTTTTTGTTTGTAACAAAATGTAACTTAATATAAAAGTGAACATTAATAAATATAATAATAAACATTGTCTGAGAAAACAAACTGTCATATCTTCCACTTATTATAAAAAGCCTGGGATTGCTTTTAATAAGGTATAATTTGTTTTCACTATATTTTTTATTTTGAATTCTTTGTTTTTTATAGTATAAATGCAAAAAGTTTTAAATCTATGAGTTCTATCTTACTACATAGTAGTAAAAGGTTTTAAAATGATATCACATGATAATAGTCCGTTTACGTCAAAATATAAAACTAGTGGTGTATGGCATCGTGCTTTAAGGCAAATTGCAGGAACTTCTCGTATTAAAAATTAAATTTTTAAAAAAGATTAAATATGTTTTAAACTTTGAAAAATTTAGATTTTTGAGAAATTTTAGAAAATTAGATTATTGAGATTGAACTATTTTGGAAATTTTGAACTTTTCAAAGCAATCTCGAAGCGCGTAAGCGCCGCGTCGCCTTCTAACGGTTAAACGATGTTACGAAATCAATAGAAATATTAACAAAATTGATACACATTATTAAAATATCGATAAAATAGCTGATAAACATTTTTGACCGCCAAATGACACTTTTTTAACTTATTTTTATTGAGAGTCCATAACTGCTGGATCTGCCTGTCCACAAATTTTACCAGTTGTTCATTTCATCAATACAAGTAAAATGTATTTTTGAATTATTAAAATCGGATGCTCCGTTCTCTTAAAAACTGAATTACGGTTTTTGGCACTTTTTGCCTTTTTTATATCTTCGAAACGGCTAGACCTACATGTGCCAAAAACTAATCAGCACGTCTTATTATTAATAGGAATCGAATGTTTTTTTAATAATTGAAATCGGTTGAACCGTGTGCTCGAAATTGTCGATTAAATTTTGTATCCGCACACACACATACATCAGTTTTTTCTTAGAAATGCCAAAATGTCCAGAAACCTCAAGATATATAAAAATTTTAATTTTTAATTTTTTTTGCGATTACTATAACTTGCTCAACGGGAAGTTAATTATAGACTACTTGAATATGCATATGTATTTTGAAACTTACCGTGATGAAGACCATTTTTTCGCGCATTTCGATTTTGGGCATCAGTATCTCTTGGCAATAACGAAAATCCTTGTCTAGCTTTCCAGTGCGTCCCTCGCAATTCCCAACGCGCCAAATCGCTACCGAACCGTCATCACACACTGTTATCAGATTGAGATCGTCGTATGATAGACGCATCTTCACTATCGGACGATTGTGGAGCTTGTATTCCAGACATTGACCTCCACTGGCTTCCTAACAATTTTCAAGGGATACTTTAAATCTACTGGAAAAATGTTTCGAACACTTACAACTATGCTTGCACTGCGTTCTGCTAACAATATTGACTATTGCTGGATTTCTTATAATTTCCAAGATATACTAACCAATTAACAATAGAGCTTTCAAACTATGTACTGTTGTTTTATGTCTTTAGAATCGAATCGTACGGTTATATTCGTCAAACACATAATAAGATGCGCTGGTAAGATATTGGGTGAAAAAGACTTGAAAATTAATTAGCTAATATTTAGTTCTTTGACTAAAATAACAATATTTCATAGAATTTACCAGTTTGCAATAAATTCAATTCAATGGAGGTGAGGAGTATCAGAATCAGGGGTCACAACAAGGTTTTGCGAATCAATTTTTTATAGTTTCTTATTGTTGTGTTATCACTATACAATTTTATAGCGTATAAAAATATTGCAAACTGGTAAATTCTTCAACGAACAGGCACGCCGAGATCCATCTCAAACAACAATATTTTTCATTTCTTTATTTTTTCCGGTTTAATCATAAAACGTTCTAAACATCGTGAAATTAGTGAATTTGTTTTATTTTTCTCTAAAATTGTTATTAGCCAATGATCATACGCATTACGAGTATACACTAGTTCAATCTATGGAAAAAGGTTCGAATAAAAATAAAAAATATTATCACCCTTACAATTATGTTCATTTATTGCTATGGCGATATTTTTAGATAAAATTAAACATAATAAAGGTTCTGCTTACAATATTGACCTCCGCTAGCTACCTAAGAATTTCCAAGGATCTTTAAATCCAATGAAAAAATATTCAAATAATTTTACAACACTTGTAAATATGCTCGAACTTACGCGTTATTTATTTTCTAAAATCAAACATTTTGTTTACAAAAGTAGAAAATCATGCTTACAATCTTGTTTTCACTGGCATTCTAAGAATTTGACATACTTTGAATATAATTCACAAATGTTTCATTACTTATGACTAAATTTGTTTAAGTTTACGCGTTATATTTTTTTAATTCAACTTTTTCCTTTTCTCTATTCAAAATAAATCCAGCTTGCAATACTCCCGTTAACTTCGTAAATAGAATTTTACGGTATCATCGTCAACAATTTAAAACTTGAATAAATATATGGATGCGAAAATATCCAAAATTATTAATTTTTATAATAAATATTATTTTGACTTTCTGTCTATAAACAATTTATAATACAATATTTTAATCGATTGTTTCTACTCAGTGTACATATTACAAATATATATGTTTTCTGCGATTTATCACTTAATCAAATTCGTAATTCTATAATTAAATTTTATCTATTTTCAATACTGAAACATTTTGGTACATGTTTTAATGCAATTCGCCAGAATATTGCACATTTATGTATATGTGTCATGTAAGCAAATGTTCAGCTGTGAAAATTTATATTTACATTATGCAAAGTGACAATATCATAAAGGAAATTGTCATGTACTGAACATGACTATTCTATCGTTTTTTCAACCTTGTCACTCAAGCTATTCGCCTTACACATATTTAGTTTGATATTCCAATATTGATAATGCAAATAAAATTTATCAAGTTTAAATGTATTTTTGTTAGTTCACGACAAAGAGCGTTTCTCATCAATAATGTATATAGTAACGAATATCTTTATTATCTGCACTTATTGAAGAGACTTACCGATTCAAAAATAACCAGTTGTAAGTAATATTTTCCTTTCAGGAAAGTTGCTTTCCGACACGTGTAAATAATCGACTTCAATATACTATTATTAAGAATGGAGATTTACTAATTTCTAGAATTGCGACGACACTATTTTTAACTGTTATTTCGAAACAGTAGATATAAGGTAGGCAATCGAGAAATTATAGGGCATGATCATACTAGTAATGAAATATTTACTCGTACTCGAAATAAGTACTCAAAATTCAGTTCAATCAGAATGATTCATATTGGAACATTTGAGATACTTAATTACTCGTCTGATTAACTATAACAATATTTATAGAATGAGAATAGTAGTACAAATTATTACTCTATTGCATAGTGTTACCTGTGATTAACATCATAACATTGAACGTATCTCTATTATCCACCTAACAACTGAATATTTCTTTATACCTGTAGCGGAAATCGAATGGATAACACCGATCCGCCGGTGCCTGCTGCGAATAACATAAGATCGCTGCGTGCCATCGCCATACAATCCATGGTCGGAGCAGGGGGCATTTGACCAGGAAGGAGACCCACGTGCTGCGGTTGACGCGGGATAACTTGTCTGATGATGGTCGAATCGCAAATCTCACGCAAATAACCATCGCTCGCCACCGTGTATGCTCGTGTGCCGTCTCTATGGGGGTAGGTAACCAATAATTAATTCTGCATGCACGTCAATTTTGATAAATATATTGGATAAATCATTTGTTGATTTATCATTATATCTTCTATATCATTATACAGGGCGTTCCTAACTTTGACGTCAAACCGAAATTAGATGTTAGTACTTCAGGACCTTAACTGTCCTGAAAAAAAAAATTGAAAAAACAATTTTACGTGATTTGGAAATTATGAGCTTTTATGTGCTTCCTAGAGCTTTGCTGAAATTATGACCATTTTTCGGTTATTGTGCTTAACTTTTAATTTTTGTTCATTTAAACTTTGAAACCGTAACCATGAATAACATTTAGTAGAAGCACATTAAAAAAATACCACAAGTGCCCCAGGTTTTCAAGAAATAAGACTATTTGTTGTACTATGAAAAATGTTCATATTCGGTCGATTTTGATAGATCCTCCTTAAACAATTTACTAATTTTTCGGTTATTTTTATGCTCAAAATTTTCCAATAATAATATTCACAGGTATATTACCATTTTACAATCCTGATTGAATGAGCTAACTTTTGATGAAACTTGCTAACACACGCTAGTAAATTTTTTTAAAGGAGTGTCTCTCGAAGTCGACTTTTTTAATTTTAAACTCATAGTTCCACAAAAATCTTAATTCGTGAATACTTAGGGCAATTGTGTTATTGTTTTTGATTGTGGTCTGAGAAATTTTATACGCGGTTGCGGTTCCAAAGTTTAAATTAACATAATTAGTAACAATTAACCGCAATAACCGAAAAATGGTCATAATTTTACTAAAACCGTTTGCACTTAGAAGCATATAATTTCCAAGCAGCGTGAGATTTTTTTTCTATTTTTATTTTAGACTATCACCCTATTTCGGCTTGACGTCAATGTCTGGGACACCCTGTAGACATATATTTTGAAACAAACACAATGAATTACAGAAGCTACATACAATTTTGGGTTAAGGTATTTAAAAATTAAAAGATTTTTTTTATCTTTTTGTCATCACCAATCTCCGAATAAATTGCTAATTGAATTGGAAAGAATTTACTGATGTTTTTAAAGTTTTGTTATAAATATACAATAGTGTAAATAAATGCCGACATATTATTTCTGGATAATCTAAAGTCTAAACTATCTGACCATCTTCAACATAACTTATTCCATTAAAAATTATAGTATAGTTATATACTTACATAATATTTTCTAGATTTTAATGATCGTAACTTGCCGTTATTGAATAAAAATAAAATATATAATAGAAGATTTTATAAATTTCCTTATTTATAATTTTAAAAAGTCTGTCTAAAAATTATTACAGTCATTATCAGATGAAAAAAATCTGTTTATGTAATTTTAAATTAGTACTTTTCATGTTTCAAGATGTTTTTAATTCTTAAAAAATCTATCAGACAGATGGTTACTTACATAAATGAAAGATGTTCCAAACGATAATCAAAATAGATATAGACTGCAACTTTACATATCATTAGTTTTATGTGAAATAATACGTTGATTCAATATTACATTGCGGTTTTCATAAAATACTTATCGCTTCTTATTAAAGGAAATGTGATAGGTGCTTGTGTAAACATTAAACTGATATACTAAATAAACGCGTACTCACGATTATCATTTTACATCACATATAATTTTTTTAGTTATTCGTTGCAGATTATTTTTTGTTATAATTAGAGTTAAATTAATATAAAAATATAAAAAATAGTTCCAATTATTTATAAATATGAAATTATGATTAATAATTTTAAATATATAAATAATATAACCGGTAAACGAATCATGAATGAAATCTATAGAGGATTTTAAGTCTATTACTTAACACTTAAATAATCATAGAAACATAAATATTTCAGTGGTTATGATTAAGAACAATTGTGCATTTAAACTTACAGTACATGTGTATCAAATCGCACTGACAGTACCGTTTAAAAATATCTTTCTACAAATTAGAAGAGTATTTAAAATTAAACTTTTAATCAAATGTCGTAACACCAAACAATTTGTTATTCAAAATTCAAATCCAAAAAAGTAATTTGGCAACGGGCGGAAGCCCCAGTATCTTCCGAACGCCATGACTGCATAAAAGATAACAACTTCCGGGAGCGCGTTAATTAGAAATAATAATTGGTGTCGTACGTATGCGGATGGCCGATCACCATTAAGATTGTAATTCTAGCCTCGTGGCTATCCTGTGCGTTTTCAGTTCCCAAGAGATTCTATTTAATTCGTTTAATGATAATCGAATGCTAAGTGATCGAACGGTATAAAATAACATGGTTGAGCAAAAATATATTAGGCGTTATAATGAAAAATTAATAATAACAAAAATGTAACGTTTTACTAAACTAGTTGGTATTGATATTTAGCCTTGAGGCAAGTTACATGAACTTCCCGATATGTGTAAATAATCGACTTAATCAATAATAAACAAATTAATTTATGAGTGATTAGAAGTAATTGAAAACGAACGAACACATTAACTCGGAGTATTTTCTAAAAGCAAATTTTCACACATCAATAATTTTTTTATTGAACGTGTTTTCGTAGGACGTTAATGGTTTAGTATGTTCATTAAGACCAAGTAATCTATCGTTACACCAAGTGAATCATCTAATTTTTAAAATTAAACTACTTATCGTAAGGCCGTAATATTTCAGTAAGATCTATAAGACCATGATATATATGGCCAAAAAAAGTTTCATAAAAATCGACTCAAAATTTTTTTTCAACAGTTTAACTACAAGAAAATGGCTCGGTAGATTTTCACCTAAAACTAATCAGTATCATTCCCAATTAATATCTTTCGAACAGTTTTTGATTTTTCAGTTTGAGCTTAAATGTGGACGAAAAGTTTAACACTCTTTTTCAAATTAGAAAGAAACAGCCAATGTGACAAGGCTATGTTACGTAGCAGTTTTCATATAACTGTTACTGAAAACTTTCAAAATCCTATGGGATTGCTGTGCAGTCAAGTGTTTTAGGTAAAAAACCTAACTTAGAAAACGCACGGATGTAAAAAAAAACGATGTTATCATAACTGCATCTTTGGGATATGGCTTGATAATATATAAGTGAAGTGTCATTTTATGTGTAAAACGCCTGATCGCTAAGCAAATACATTTTGATGGTATTCAGTAGTAATTGAAAACTGGAAGGTAATTTTGATCTATTTTAGGGCAGAATCGGCCTATATACCTCACTTAGAACAATCGATTGTTTGCTTTCTAATAAGCATCGTTACGCTAGAATTAAGGATCGTTCAAAATACTTTATAGAACATCTAAAAATTTCTGATTGCTGTTAAATAATAAAAAAAGTTACTAGTTTTTAGCAGTTTTTATTTATTTTATTTATATTAATATTCAATATTTAACTTAAAAAAGATTTATAATATAAATTAGGTGTCATGTGAAAAGAATGATAAAGATTTTATATTTGCCTAAGGCGTTCTTAGTTACCAGATTTTTTTATATTGAAAGCGAATGCAGAGGTTCTTTACAAAATAATGACAAATAAAATGAATGATCAAAAATTATTTTCCATATATCAAAAAAATGATCAAGTGTTAGTTTCGCTAAAGAGGAAGCTGATGATGCTTTATAAATGAAAAATACAAATTTGACCGATTTTGTCAAATTGAAATTTTTAATTTAGCCCTGTTTTTTTACAGACTGGAAAAAAGTAGTATGCTTGTCATTGTTAAGCGGTAGTATATTCGTCGTGAACTTACACTTTACGGTGGTAATTTATAGTAATTATGTCGTGGCAGCAACCTGACAACTATATGATATCGCTTACTAATTTTGTTTAAAAACGTTTGTAAAATTTTGTTCTTAACTTCGTTATCTTTTATAAACTGATATGTTTGTCGCACCTACACTATTAGCCGTTCACGCCATTGACAAGGAAGAACTATTAAAGTTTACAAATGGTTTAAAAATATTTGTGACGGGATTACAACTAATATCAGCATGCTATCCAGTCTGGGTACTGGGTACTTAGACTGCTTACTAGAAATCAGCAAATTTGATTAGAAAATGATTAGTGAAATTTCCGTGTTCCATACGTGGCTGACCCTAGTTTCAAGACATTTAGCTTAGGAGAAGGTAGCACTTAATTCGTTTAATGAAAATTAAATGGAGAGTGATTGAATATTAAGAAAATAGCTTACTCACGCTATGATCCCCACACCGTTGACTGGGACACCTTTCACGACCACTTCGCCGCATCTATTGCCGGTTCGTGTGTCCCAAAAATAAGTGGCTCCTTCTGTTCCCACCGAGACGAGCACTGTATCTCGAATGCACCACGATAGTTGTTTAAGCTAACGGAAAAAATTAATATATATATATATGTATATATATATATATATATATATATATAGAAACAAAAGCAATCATGATTTTTTTTCGATTATGTACGTATTAGAAACCGACGATCTGACGATTAAATAATTTCATTGCATATTTGAAAATTAAATTAAATTGTTTTAACATATTTATAAGTTCGTGACTTTTTTGTACATACAATACATATGTATGCATAATACAATTTACATTATTTAATTTTTTTTCATTATTAAATATAATAGTAATTATTTTAAATAATCGAAATGATTTTGTTTTGAATTTGAATTACCTTGCCATTGTGCCCTTTCAACGTATATACCAATTCGAAGGAAACAGTTGAATAAATTTGGAGCACATTACCATTGGCGCAGCAAAACATGTGTCCGCAATTACTGAAAGCCACCTCTCTGCAATTCCGAACCGAAAATTCTCGTAAGACTCGCATGTCATCAATGAGAACCGAACAGTAGCGCAGTTTGTCCGAACATCCGATCAGGGCAAACAAACTGGTCGGATGCAGGGCGACGCCGTACACGTCAACCTGGATAGAAATGCATTTATAATATATGCGACGAGAATAAGTTATTTAAGAATAAAATGTTTATCCTAATGGCGGATCTTTTAGTACTTGTATCTCCTGTCGCTAATGCCATTTTGACTTATGTATACATTTATTGATAGTAAAAAATGATTTCACGTAGTTGGAAAATTATCTTTCAAGTGCAACCCAGAGTTTTGGTCAAACTGTGACCATTTTTGCATTATTGTGGTTATTAACTTTTCGAAGAGGAAGTTTATTTTCATTATTTTTGTTCATTTAAACTTGGGAACTGTAACCGTGATTAACATTTCTAGCATCACAGTCAATAAATATAATAAAGACACATCTGAACCAAGTACTCACGAATTAAGACTTTTTATTAAATTATGAATTTAAAATTTTGAAAAGTCGACTTTGAAGGGCCTTTCTTTAAAAAAAATGTAATAAAGTGTGTTGACACGTCAGCAACGAGCGTTCGAACGATAAAGACCTCAGTGTTGAATAGTGAGTAATCCGTAACAGGTAGTTGAAATAGTGACATCATGGATAGCGGACCCTACGGAGAGGGTCCCGACGATGACCGTGAGCAAATACAATTAGGTCCGTGCATAGGAAACGCATTGCGTATATGTTATGGAGAAGATATGGAAACTGAATCAAACGCTAATTTAAATAAATTAAATAATGATGTTACACCTAAAGGTACAATCAATTCAGTGCAAGAAAGTGACGTTGTATCAAACAACGAAATGAAAACAATAACAAATCTAGAAACGACTCGAGGGAAAAACAGTGCTAGTGAAAATCTCACAGGGGACAAACCTTCCCAAGAAACTATTAATAATAATGAGGTAATTAATATTAATGAAAATTTAAAAACCAACGATAAGATTAATGAGAATACATATGAAAAAAATAATCAATCGAGAAATACTAAAGTATTTAAAACAGTGTCATACACAGAAAAAGACATAGGACCATTTTTAATTTATGTGGAATCGATGAACAAAAACATAGGCAAACTACACCACATGGCATTAGGAAGAAAGATATTTAACAAGCACCCAGAGATGGACAAATATATAAAGGAAATTAAAGCTATCGGAATTAACAAAATCAAAATTGAATGTTATGACTACAAATTCACAAACAAGTTGGTAGCGGACCATATATTCTCAGAGATCGGCGCAAGGGCATATATACCACTATCTACTGTAATAAAAAAGGGAGTAATATACGACGTAGACACCGAGCTATCAGAAGAACATATTTTGAAACATATAAAATCTGAAGTGGAAATATTAGAAGTCAAACGAATTCTTAAAAAACAAAACAACGATTATGTAAAAACGCCCGTATGCGTTCTAACTTTCAGAGGCCAAAGGTTACCTGAGAAAGTAACAATACATGCGGTGAAGTGTCGGGTGAGTCAATACAACAAAATAATCCAATGTTATAACTGTTTACGCTATGGTCACGCGACCACACAGTGCCGAAGCAGTGTCAGGTGCGGACATTGTTCGGGTAACCACAACTACAAGGAGTGCGATAACAGGGAGGAAGAGCCCAAATGTGCATTATGTGGCAATGGACATCAGGCAATTAACAAAAATTGCGAAGTCTACAAAAAACAAATTAAATTAAAGGAAATAATGGAATTTAATAATGCAAGTTATAATGAAGCAAAAAGGATTTTGGAGAACCGCCCCTACGCAAATATAATTACAACTAGACTAGACTTACAAAACAAAAAAGTTTTTCCCGATATTCAAGATCACCAACAACGCACAAGAGATAAAGAACCAGAAAATACGGAAGTGAATCAGCCCAAGAAACGGAGACTACACAATACTAGCGTTGAGACACCAGCCATAGACAACAGCATTAAAAACTCTAATAATAACAATAAAACAGAAAACGATGCACGAAAAGCGTCACCTAATATAAATAAAATACCATTTAAAAAAAATGAAAACGTAAATACGAAAATGACAAAAGAGGACAACAGAGATAAAACGAAAGAGAAGGATGTTAGAACGACGAATATACAGAAAAGAGGAATACAACCAAATCCAAGCACATCAGAGCAAATATCTCTGAACCACATAATCAAAAGACTAAAGGATGTTTTTAACCCTACCAACCAAAAAAATAATCAAGTGCTAATGGCCATAATTAATCGGATGGAAAGAGATCAGATAAACCTAACAAATCCGAAATGACAAGAATGACACAGGAATTGAAAATATTGCAATACAATTGTAGATCAGTGTTTGCCAACAAAGGCTGCATTGAACATTTTCTATACGAGAAAAAGATTCAAATAGCGGCCTTCTCAGAAACATGGTTAAAAGGTGGTAACAACTGCACTTTCAGAGGTTACAAGATCTTCCGCAACGATAGAAATGATGGATATGGAGGTACGGCTATAATAGTCAAGGATGATATCACGGTACTCAATACAGAGAACATTAATATAGGCACAATAGATGTAAGCAAGTGCCAAATCAAAAGAATAACACTTATGTTCTGTAACACCAAATTGACCATTATATCCATTTATGTTGCACCAAACAGCAATATCTCAGTAAGTCAATGGAATCATATATTGTCACAGTTCCAAAGCCCATTTATTTTGTGCGGTGATTTTAACGCCCACCATTATGCATGGGGAGGTAAATGGAATAGCAGAATGGGAAATAATTTACTAGAATCCGTAGAGTCCAATGACTTATTTATACTCAATGATGGAAATCCAACTTTGAGATCTAAAAACAATTTTACAGCAGTTGATATATCATTTTGCTCTCAAGACATAGCGCACAAAATAGATTGGAGTGTAATCGATGAGTCTCTGGGCTCAGATCATTACCCCATAATTCTAACTCTGAAACAAAAAGAAGTTCCACAACCCCAAAATAACGATCTTGGATGGAACCTCAATAAAGCAGACTGGGAAAAGTATCAAATACATCTAAAAGATGAACTAAATGGATTTTGTGTAAGTGACCCCGTAAAAGCGTACACAGATTTTATACGGATAATTAACTCAGCGGCAGAAAAAAGCATTCCAAAAAGGAAAAAATTGATAAATACTAAGTTCATTAAACCAGTGTGGTGGGATGACGAATGCAATCAGCTAATAAAGAAACGGAGAGAGGGTGAAAAAGCTTATCCTACTACAGGAATCCAACTATAAAAACTATTTAACGTGTGAGAATATAAACAAGAAAATCAAAAACATTTTCAGAAAGAAGAAAAAAGACAGTTGGAAGGAATACGTCAATAAAATGAATCCAAATACTTCAGTCAAAGAAGTATTTGGAATGATTAGACGTCTCAAGAAACACACGAACGGGACCGACACATATAGTAATATCCCTGAAGAAATTAGTGAGGAAATCATCGACTATCTATCACCACCGGGTGCCAAAAATGACTTAGGCAATGGAAATAAAACTGTCCTGGAAAGAGAAACAAACAATCTGATGGAACCATTCTCATTGTGGGAACTGGAAATAGCTATCAAGAGGAGCAACAACACAGCTCCTGGAAAAGACGGCATATCATATTCAATGATTGCAAATTTGACACCACAAGCTAAAAGTATACTGGTAGATATAATTAATAAAGTGAGGCTGAATCCAGAAGCAATAGAAGATTGGGGGCAACAAGTAATAATACTTATCAGAAAAATGAATAAACACCCAAATTTAGTTTCATCGTATAGACCCATATCTTTGGCTTCCTGCATTGCAAAAGTCAAAGATAGAATGATCAAGAGAAGATTAGAATGGTGGGTAGAAAAGTATGACATACTTCCCAAATCCCAATGTGGATTTAGAAAGGGCATGGGAACATATGACAACCTAACGATCTTTATATCAGATCTATATCTATCAATGGCAAAAAACAACTATGTCGTTGCGCTATTTAGCGATATTAAAGGTGCGTACGATAACGTCCTACCAGAGGTGCTGGAAGATTCTTTGGCTAACACTGGACTACCAGGAAAATTCATAAACTCAATTACGACCAACATCCGAGAAAGAAAGATATTTTTCCGAATAAATGGGAAACTGATAGGGCCGAGAAAAATCTACAAAGGCCTACCACAGGGAGAAATTCTTAGCCCCATCTTATACTCAATTTATGTAAGAGACATAGAAAAAATATGGGAAACAGGTACCAAAATATTACAATTTGCAGATGACGTCGTAATCTATATAGAAAAATCAAGCCTCCAGGAAGCCTATGAGGTGATGAGCCGTAACATAGATCTCTTCCACGAATGGCTCGCAAAGAAAGGACTTGAATTGTCGGACGAAAAAAGCTCAATCGGAATCTTTACAAGACGCAGGAAGCTAGAAGAAAGATCAGCACTAACGACTAAATACCATACAATCAAAATACAAGAAAATAATAAATTTTTGGGCGTCACATTTGACAAAAAACTATCTTTCAAAACACATATAAATCAAGTAATCACAAAAATTGAGCCAAAAATCAACATTTTACGTATGGTAAATAGGACATGGTGGGGAGCTCACCCTACCACAGCCCTGAATTTGTATAAAACAATAATTAGACCATCATGGGAGTATGGAAGTCTAGCTTTCGGTAACTCTTCTCACTGCAGGAAGCTAGAAAAAATTCAATATAAATGTTTGAGACTGTGCATAGGGGCAATGATCTCCACACCTACAAACGCCTTGTTGGTGGAATGTGGAGAAATGCCTTTACATTCAAGATTCCAATATTTAAGTGATAAATTTGTACTTAAAAAATACCAAGTACAAAATAATAGAACAATCGAAAATATCAAGAATGTAGCCATAGATACATTAACAAGTGACTATTGGAGAAATCGTCCAAAACCAAGCTTGGTATATAGCTATATAAAAGTAATTGAAACAAGAGGAGACACAAATAAATACAATAAACACCCGTATTATAACTTTTTCACATTAGACAACAGTTATACGATAGAAAAAATATTCAATACGAATACAATCAACATAGAGGATTATAAAGTTATATTTACAGACGGATCAAAAATTAATAACAAAACTGGCTGCGCTTTATTTTATGAAAACGATAATATCAAAATAGGATATAAACTACCAGACTTCGTTTCAATTTGGTCAGCCGAGCTAATAGCTATAAAAAAAGCAATTGAATATATAGAAAGCCACAAAATCACTAAAGTGGCCATCGTTACCGATAGCAAAAGCTGCATAGATAAACTGAAAAATCTATTCCTTACTAATCGACTAAGCGAAACATTAGTATATGAAGTATGGAATAGACTTATACAGCTATTGGAGAACGGGTATACAGTCAAATTATTATGGACTAGATCGCACTCCGGTTCTAGTGGAAACGATGAAGCGGACTTGATAGCAAAATGGGCAACAGAATACGGAACTAGGATCAACCTAGCCACTAGGAAAGACTATATAAATAATTCAAAGAAAAAAATACTGGACAAATGGCAAGAGCAATGGAACAGATCGTCGGAAACAAAGGGACGATACTACAAGGCAGTCAACCCCAAATTGAAGATGAAACCGTGGTTCCGAAAATATGCAGATGAAAACAGAGGTACCATCGTAACAATAACAAGACTAAGGCTTAATCATGGCAACTTTCCTGCACACATGAAGAGGCTGGGAATAATAGAGTCAGAATCATGTCCTTGTGGAGCATCAAGCGGAACATCTGAACACATCATACTAGAATGTAGTATATTTGAGGCAAGCAGGGCTAAATTGTTAGAGGAACTACACTCTATAAAAACACTGATTAAACCCTTTAATTTGACATCATTATTGCAAAATCTGAACTGTTATCCTAACATAATTAGGTTTGTTAATAATAGTAAAATTAAGTTGTAAGTGACCAATATACTATATATGTTACCTGTATATTGTACATTATGTATGTGGCTAAATGTTTACCAGAGGCCAATAAAAATATATATAAAAAAAAAAGTGTGTTGACAAGTTCCATCAGAAGTTGGCGCTTTTAATCAGGATTGTTAAACTTAGAGAAATATGCCTTTATCAAGATATTTTTAGGTTCTTATTTTTTTACTATACTCTATTTGTTTTATTATGTAAATTCATATCAAGTGTTATAAAATATTTCACATTCTTTATACAAATCTACTTTTATGCCGTTTGAAAAATCCAAAACATTACTTGAATTTATCCACTAATTTAATAATTTAGTTTACACATTTACGATTTAGATCGTAACTTTTGGAGTTTTGGCTTTATTTTTTCATTATTTTTAATTTTACATTTTAAGAAATACCATATTTTATAATCTCGCTATAACATATTAATGATATTTTTCGTATAATTAAGAATTTTGTATATAATTATGAGATTTTATTATACCGATGTAAATTAAATACAATTATGGACTTAATCAGTTACATGTCGCAAGCAACTATATTTTTTGTGGAGTCTTATAGGGTGTTTTAATTGTAAAGTTCTCTTTATAAAATTATCAAATTAATAGTTTTAGGTTTACTTCGCTAAGATGTTCGTTGAATTTTATAAATCAATCTATATCGACAATCGGCTTAGATTGTTTTGAATTGGCTCTTGCAAGGCATCTTTTCTAGAAAGTAATGGACATAGCTTCAGAAATTGTATAGTTTTTTGCAATCTGTAACGTCCTTTGTATATTGCTCCAGAAATTATAATTGCCTAATTACTAAGTAAAGGTAATGATATAATATAATGCAAAATCGATCGATTTGCATAGGAAAAATAAGAAACCGAATTTCATGATGAATAAACTCAATTTTAAGTTTTAAAATACTGCATTTGAATTTTCTTTGAAATAAGATCCACATAAAAATCACGTACTATATCAAATTCCATTTATACTTTTTTTCTATATTATTCCCCTACCGCGTATCGTTTTATCATTTCGACTTCTCCCGTGTCGTAGTTCCAGACACGAATGGTCTTATCTTCTCCTGAGGTCAAAAATATCGGTTTCCAAGCACATACTGCGAGCGATATAATGGCTCCTTGATGTATAGGTTGTCCCAGAATTGAAAACACGTTTTCGTGGACTTGAGGAACATCGGGGCCCCAGATTTTTGATGAATACAGTTGCGTTCGAGACGTGGTCACTAGCAATGCGTCCTGGGTGTAATTTACGGTCATTGTTTTTATGCGACTGGCTGTAGAATCATTAGATTTGTTATAAAACTTTATTTCCTTGTCAAAATTAATTAAATAGAATTATACAATAAAATTATAGTATATATATATACAAAATTTTTGTATATATACAACTGTAAGCTATAGTATACAATAGTGTTTAATTCATTACTTTATACTTTTATGAAAAATTGATCATTGAAGCTCAAAAAATCTATTCAAAACTAATATTACAAAATCAGTGAAGATGAAATTAACAGTATTTGTATATAATCTTTTCATACCTATTGCATCTTCATCTTCTACAGTGATGACGTTTTTCTTCCGAAATTTATAATTCGTGTCTTTTTCAAAAACATGAGCGACGTTTTCAACTGAAAAAGCGAATCCACGCGGAAACGTAATCAGTGTCCGAATCATCATATTTGCGCGATCAGGAACATCATCGGCCGAGCCTTGAAGATATGAAATGGGTTCCATGTGACTGTTAAAAGTTATGTAGTTTTTATTAAATTGTCATTCACGAATCAGATTGAAATTCTTGGTTGATGTTATATGACAATCTAATAACATATTATGTAATTCTTGTCATATTTATATAAAAAATACTGTGAATGAGCAGGAATCTTAACAATGCTTTTAATGTAATATATTTCATGATCGGAAATTTTACAATCTAATAAGAACTATTGACTGACAACAGCATGATATATTATTTATTATTACTGATTACGGCTCGCTCATGAATAAATAAATAAATAAATAACTAAATGAATTGGAAAATAGATTAAATAGAAACTATGCTTAATACGAACTTCATTAAAATATTTAAAACTATTAACTAAATTCTTGTAAAAAATGAATAAAAAAATAGTGAAATAATAATAACTTCAGTTCAATTTTCGGAAATCAGATGCATAATTGTATTCTCACTGTCCAATAGTTTTAATAAGTCGTTTGCTCATAAATTTCCATTCATTATAAATTTGGACGGAATTAGAATCTTTGTTATTGGACTTAAATTAAATTATTATATAATTTTAGAAAATTACTATTTTGCACAAATCTTTGCTAGGTTTGAATGCTGATCTAATATTTGTCTGAACCACTCACTCTGACTTTGATTTAAGATCTAGAATCAGCAATTCTTCGTATTTCCACACTTGTTTTAATTCGCCGTTCTCAACAAAGAACAGTCCTCCTGTTTCCGTGCCGAACATTACGAGATCAGGGGTTACCCATTGGCACACAGTGACCACGAACGGTTCCGCCTTCGCCCATCCCCACTGACGCCAAGCTCCTTCCGCATAACTGAGCAAACGGAACGAATTGGGACCGGCAACTGCCAGAACACACACGTCGTTTGTGCTCGCCGTCACCTGTGCTGGTTGGGGTAAAATTGTTAAGGGGTTTAATCAATAAATTTATATCGATAGAAATAAGTAAACCAAAGTAATGGAATTAATTAATGTATTTATCATAGAGACATGCGATTTTTTTCAAACAAAAATGACGAAATCATAGAATATTAAGAAATTTTTTATGTTTTTTTTGTCGTCATTTTTTAACCAGGGGGCGCCAAAGTGGGCATTGCAAAATCGATCTCTTTTGCGGTGCCACAGATAAATCCGTTGCGCATCGCCTGAAACAAAAAAAAAAGAAACTATGTTGAAGAAAAAGTTTGAATCCAGTACCCCTACCAAAATGAAAGAAAAAAAGCAAGAAGGAAAAAAATGACAGCTATTTAAAAAAAAGTGTTAAAAAGGGCCTTTTCTGGGACGAGAAGCTTCGCAAAATTTTTTTGCGTAATGTTATGAAGTTGTTTGAGGTAGGGGGACTAGGTATTGCAGTGGTGAACAAATAAAAAAAAATGCAAGTCGATCCGACTTGTAGTTTTTTTTAATTTGTGGCACCGCATTGAAAAAAGTCAATTTATGAAAAACGTATTTAAAGTTTTTAATATAATGTACTAAATACATCATTTAATTTAATGTACAAAATACACCATGGTGTTCAAAGATGCTGACACATTAAAAAGGTCATGTGCATGAGGTATTATAATGAAAAAGAGAGCAGCTGGCATACAATAGCTCGCGGACCGATGAAAAAAACGGTTTCAGAGGATCATACATAGAGATATACGAGGTGTGTTCAAAAAGTACCCGGAATTACTAATAATTAAATTTCGCGGGTCTGGAGTGTCTGATTGTCAAAATTTTTTTTTTTTGTGTTGGTATACATGCCCCTAAAGTATGATGAAATTTTCAGCTATATTCACTGTTTACTTTGTCTGTGGTAGTCGCTAAGGTTCGACGTGTTTTTCTGAGCTCGGCGATTTTTACAATGGAAGAATTGAAAAGTCAAAGAATTTGTATTAAATTTTGCGTAAAAAATGAAATAAAGTGTTGCAAAGTGCAAAAATTCACCAGATATGGCTCCGTGTGACTTTTTCCTATTCCCAAAGTTGAAGAGACCCATGAAAGGACGGCGGTTTTCCTCGATTGAAGAAAATCGCTGAGAGTGCTCAAGAACATATCAAAAAGTGAATATCAAGGGTGCTTCGAAAATTGGAAAAAACGCTGGCATAAGTGTATTATATCTGGGGGGGGACTACTTTGAAGGGGACCACATTAATGTAGACGAATAAATAAATATTTTTTTGAAAAAACGAAAATTCCGGGTACTTTTTGAACAGACCTCGTATATATATATATATATATATATATATATATATCTGTAACTTCGTCAAAAAATAGACATTGAGATGATTTTTTTTAAAAATAATTCTAAGGTTTTTAGCTTTCATAATATCAAAAAATCTCAAAATCGAAAAAAGAAAAAATAAAAACCGAACAACCCCCTTAAGGACCATTTACATAGTTAAATCAAATACTACATATGTACACAATTCTGCCTAAAATATTTGAAAGCATGATAAATTGCTGTGTTATTTTTTGGGGTCTTGAAAAAAAGGCTTAGAGCCTACCGAATGTAACTCGGTTTATTTGATTCGTTGCATTTTATTAATTGGTTTTGTTATGAATATTTTATATATCAACTTAATTCAAACGAGCATATTAATAAAACTATTAGTTTTGTATTTAGAAATTTATTGTATTTGCTTTATTTTTAATAAGAACACTGTTTATGCCTTCGGTACTAATAATAAACTTCAAAGATGTGCAATTGGTAATTTATGATTGAAGCTGCTGTACTAGTATGCACATACGACATATAAGTCTTATGTTCAACTAAAAAACATAGATTTTAGTATGTATAGATAATATATAATTCGCATTATATTTATATATGGGGTAGAGCGCGGACCTTAAATGTACGCGGTTAAAATGGTCCACCACCGTATCATGATTGCCTCAAAAACGAGTAAAGTGTAGATTTTTTTAATGATACAATATTAAAGTAGCGATTATAGCCATAAATCGGGCGACATCGCAATCAGGAGATAAATAGCCGAATTATAAAATTTTTAATGAAAGTATTTTTTTCCTTGTTGGTCTTTATGTTTTTAAACACCTACGTTTGGTTTACGATACCTAAATATAAATTTTAAAAATGTTATTTGATTGTACCTTTATATATACCTTTATACTGGCGTGGTGTAAACAATGAGAAGGTAGTAGAAAAAAATGTGGTATGATGTAAAAAAACAAGAGATACATTAAATTAATAGTTATTCCAACTCTGATGATTAATTCTTCTGACAAAGATCTCTATACAAAAGTTGTATTCAGTGCGATCTTTGTAATAAAATGTGCCCATAAAATATGCATTTTAAACAGAAGTTGTTTTTATCTCAGTTGTAATTATTGTATTTAAAAATATTAGAAACAACTATCAAAGCAAGATTTATGGAGTAGTAAGAGTTGGTGAAATGTTTTGTTTATAAATATTCATGCTCTATTATTTTTAGTATCATTATTCATTATCAAAATGGGGCATGGATAAAATGCATACAAACACAAAATTTAAAACTTGAAAATCAATTAAATGAAACTAATTATTTATATATGTATAAGCAAAATCTGCTGATTTATTAGTGTTACACAGGAGACTTATATATCATATTTAGCGCTTATCTCTAATTCAAAGGGAAACCCATTCGTTTGAACTCAAAGTGATGATTTAGAGAGCGCAGAATCAATCAATCATTCACATCATCCATACGATTCGTTGTATGAAGATTAAACTATGTATCCATATTGGACATTTGAGATTACTTATGAGTCATTACTTGATTCAAAGCTATTTCGTATTTCATTCGGAAATCATGCTTTCACTAAATTATTTTTTCATACTTTATTTATTATTTTGTAATGTAATTTTTAGATAGCAGCAAGTGTATTCAACAAGTTAATACATTTTTTAATATGTTAAATGTTAAATATACAGAATTCTCAGCCAATCATACTAAACTTATTTGCACTTTCTAGTAGTTGAATAACTATGATGAATAAAAATTTGATCATAAAAATCATAGAAACATTCAATCGCTTCTTGTGGAAGATGAAAAGTGTCAAAACTAGTTCAAGTAAAGAGTATAGGTAAAATACTAACTATATCCTCCAGCTCCTGTGGAGTTGCCACAGCGATAAGAGCTCTCAGCCTTTCCTTTGTCCAGGGTGAACGTATATATCATGAAATCTGGTTCATCGCAAAGCACAGTCAAGTACTTGGAATCGAAAGAGAATACCATGTTGACGATGTCCTTATTGGGAGCTTCTGGCGGTAACACTAGACTTCGTTTTTTCTTCAGTGTTACTGTGTCAAATATCGTTATACCTGGACGATCTCCTTTTTCAGAAATAGCTATTAATCGCCTAAAATAAAACGCCGTGATTAACGGAATTATAATCATAAATATAATTGATAGAATTTTTATGAGAATTTGTAGAAGAATTTTTTGCGAGTAATTGCAGAACAATGTGACAAAAAATATGAGCCATTGACTTATAACAGTGCTATTACTATATTAGTGAATAAAATGATGAATAAAAATTTCAGGCCATCATGATGATATCATATACTACAGCATCATCACATACTAACTCATTTCTTCAAGCGATTGAGTTTCCAAGTTTGAATATACAACACAAAACTCGATTTTCACATATAAATAGCAAAATTTAGATATATGTATTAAAAAAAAACAAAACTTTTTTTGGTTATTGAATAAATTAACAATACGTTATGTTTCAAAATCGGGGTTAGTACCGATTTCTAATATGTTATCAATGATAATTCTACAGTGTGAAAATTGATTTCATTAATTTATTTTGCAAATTAGGTTTATAATTAATATAAGTCTCAAATCTCATAACTAAAACTAAATACCATACCAGTATGGAGTACCACAATTTAATAATTTTATACAATGGAAATACCTGTTGGGACTCATTATTATCATAGTCAGTATATTCTTATCGTTTAATCGGATGTATCTCTGCCTCTGCTGCAAATGGTCATGGATCACGATGGCGCTACCCGCTGGATAAAAAACATCCTGCGCGAGAGCATAGTGCGCGTTGTTGATGACATCCGTTCTCAAGGAATAGAAGTGGCGCGGGTGAAGCGCTGGCACGCTCAAAGTTGCCATCTGATAATAATTAAATTTAATATATCACTACAAAATCATTGCCATTACAGATATTATAACAATAAAATTTATTACATAGAGATAGTACAAGTGTTTGGGTTGCCATTTATAAAATCGACCTGTTTAGTTGTCAAATCATCCCAACACATTATAGCACCCTAAGATTCTTATCATTATTCATATATTCGTAAATAAAAATATCACAGCTTTATTGACTGCATGTATCTAACTTATCGAAAAAGAAGTTTATGAAGAAAATAAGTTTTGTAAAAAGAACAGTTTGCTAATTTTATATTTATAGTTACATTTTGATATTAAAAACTATGAATTTAAATTGAAAGTTGCATATAGACATTATGTATGGTATCACAATTTAAAATTAAATTAAAACACACGTACAACCATGCGACTGTATAGGGATGATGAATTACAGCCACTAAAGCAAAATATGACTACTCACATCTCTCTCTAATACAAGAACTATTACGTAGAACAAATATCATATCACGAACTGCAGAAAATGATCTAAGTAAAAAATGCTTCCTGATATATAAAATCTAAAATAATGAAATTGTAACATGTACCATAATTTAAACGATTCGCTACTGCAACGTTTTTCACAGGAGCTATACAAGCCAACGAAGTATTTGTTGTACAAAATATTTCAAGATTTTCGAAAAAAAAAATTTAAAGATTAAAAACTACGCTTTCAAAAAACTAACAATTAAAGTGATAAATCTTAAATAGGTGACGCTGGTAGCGGTTTAAAAAAGTTATCTATACGTTTCAAGTCATTCTAAGTTTCAAAAGTTTGATAACAAATAACAAATTAACAAATGTATATGCGTGTAGTATATTAACGCATATTGAACCTTACTAAAAACATTGCATAACTTGATAATGACCCGCCGTAATCAATTTCGCATGGTGGTCGGTCGAGCCATTTCTTTATAATTAACATGGCTACGTCTCCGTGATAAACTTTATTTGAAACATTTCAAACATTTTAAAAGGCATTGCCAGTTTTAATTAATATTAATATAGCAGAGCCGTTTCTTTGTAAATTGAAGTTAATTTTTTGATTGAAAATTAAAAAAGGTTCTACTCCCGTTAGGCAACTCGATTATCTTCAGATATCGTAAAGTTTTGCAACAGTGAAATGCTTGCTTGCACTTTGAATTTGTTAAGAAAGAAATTCGGTTCTCGAAATAGGCAGTAATATAATAAATATTTTTTTATGTTTGTGATTTTCACCAATCAGAACAATTACATGTTTTATAAGCTGTGTTGAGCACTGCTTATTACTAAAAACGACGTTGTTAGTGGGCAATTCATTGATTTTCCTTACTCTATCTAAAATTTAGTTTATCTTTCTGAACGCTATTAGAAGACAACCACACGGTCGCCTTTCTAGGGATATTGCAGCAATGCTCTATCTATATTTTCAAGTGAAAACAGTTGTCACTACTGCTTGACAACATGCTGCTCGAAGCGAGATTGAACCTGGGACCTTTGATTTAGGTCCAGTCGTTTTAGCCACTTACCTACGAGCGAGCCCATGATAAATAACGAAAACGTCTATTTATACAGAAATTAATTATAGAAAAATCTATTGCAATCAATATTAGACAGATAGTATTTATGCAGCACCAGTGTGGTATATTTGGTAATAAATTTTTACGCATTTCTCCACTTTCTAAAAAATTAAACGTAGTAAGGTGCAATTAAAGAAATGGTGAGACAACTAGACTGAAGAGGATACGTTAAAATACATACATTTGTAATATTATTATATTATTGAACGTGAATCAAATATGCTTTTAGGCTTGTGACGGGATTTGAAGCCGTAAAAATGAACGTAATAATTACGAGCGCATATTTTAAATCCTGCTACATGATGAGATAACCTATACTATATGTATAACTAACAAAAGAGACTATAATTATTTTTTGTAATTAAACCACTTTAAGAAGAGATGTAAAGGTCATACCTTTGTTTATGGCCTTCTCTTCATTTTAATGTTGTTTTAGTTATTTTTTAAGAAATATAGTTTGTTTTCGCAAGAAAATCCGATTTGATAATTTTATGATTTCTTGGCGTTTGAAGTCATTCTGAATTGAGTGCGACCAAATTTGTAAAAAGTATGGGTGTGTAGAGGTGAGCCAATTTTTGACCTTTCGTCGACGTTTTCTTACAAACAGCTGAGCCGATTTTAAAAATGCAACAGCCATTCGATGTAACTCGGTTTATCAGCTTTGCGCGATGTATAGCCGAGCCGTTTCTTTGAAATTGGCAAACGAATGTGAAATATTTTGTCTACGTTTTACCCCATTGTTTTGAATCGATTTTATCAATTCAAAAACTAATCGAAATCGGTTGGGAATGAGTTTGATCAGTTTTTCGTGAAGATCGGTAGAGCGTTTTTTTTGTAATTAAATATTGAATTATTTTCTCATGGTTTTGATGAAATTTTGTATAACGATAGATTTTGTGGTATGACTAAAATATTATAGGCATGCAAAAAGCCTATAAAAATAATTAATTCTCATCAGACTCTATGCTGGATCTACTGATACGATTTCCTATATTGTTGACTGCAGATTTGTGTATGGTTGTATGAACCCAAGACTTCAGATCCCTAAGAATTTAAAGAAACACGGAGAAGTTTACCGATTTATATTTTACTGTATATAATACTAATAAGTTTTCCTCTTTATCTTTGAACAACGTGAAGTGAATATACCTCATTTAAGGTTATTAATTATAATGCTCGTTTGATATAAGTTTTAATACCTGAGTATTTGCAATAAGACATAAAATGATGAATTGTATTTTCAGTTTATTAAAACTGAATTTGCATTAAATTTAAGAGCTTGTGCAGTCTATTTCCGAACTATTGCTTATTCAAATCCAATTATAATATACGAGCTCGTTTAGTTACATAATATTATACTACATTCGATATGAACGCTGGTTATGACATATAACAATGCGCATATCAAATTCGATTCAAAGTATGAAACTCTACGCTTTAATACGAATGCTGATTCTGAACACATATTTGCATTCAGTGAATTTTATGGAGGAAATTTTCTCTATTAATATATAACTCTATCAATTTGAAAATAAAAGTTAGAATTGTACTAATACTGGTATGCATGACATTGTGTCTCTAGTAGCATGATTAATCCACAAGAAATGGTACAAAACTCCAAATTGGTACAAATAGTAAATCTTGCATTATATTTCAAGTAATTTTGAAAATGTAAAGCTATTACTATTTAAGATTAAAAAATTTCTGAATTTTTAAATATGTGCTTCAAGTTTTAGACTCGGCAGATAATTACTTCTATACTATATAAATGAAGTTCGTTTTCTTAATAATTTTGTAGATTGAATATATTATTAGTATACGAATTATACTAAAAACATAAGTTTTAAGCTGATACATAAAATAGGGTTTTTGTTATGTCAATTTTTATTTGAGAGCAAATTTTTTTTATAACATTTTTGTAGTCAGGTACTGGACCGAAAATAAGCTGAACTAGTGGTGTATGCCCGTACCGTGATGAATATTCGAAAAATTTTAGATGTTTTCAAATGATTTTTATAAATAGTTTAACTTTCACTATTCGTATTTTATAGACAAGATATAAGAGCTTATAGATTGGACGATGACATTTTTACATGTTTACATGAAAAGTAAATAAACAAAATTTATTGAGCGGAGTTAGAATAAAGGACTTTATATTTCAAAGAACTATATAAATTGAATTGCAAAGTTAAAATTATTTATTTCAAGTGAGCTTTAGAAATCCGAATATATTCGATAAATCAGAATAAATATTTTTTGTATATTAATAAAAACATAATTTAAAATATACGCATTGTCAAAATCTCTATTTAAGTTTGATTATTTGTTGCAATAGTTTTTGAGCACTGTAAATGTGAATTGATTTTTTTTATTTAAACACATACATATACATTTGTTATGCCAAAATAATTAGGAGATTTAAAGATCTAAAAAATCCATACTTGACTTTTTTGAGATTTGAATTTGTTACAGTACGGAAAGATGATCATAAATAATTTAATATAAACAAAACGTAATATCAATTTGATTTTTAAAATTTCGAAATATCCAAAAAACAATAACCTTTAATAGATCGCGTTTTATATTCATTTTTATTATTGCGTTTCGAATAAAAACTTCAAAGCCAAACGCACAATACTATGAGGCGTTGTAAATCAGAGATGACATGCTACACTTTAATGAAAAATATTTTTGGGATGCCTGAATAACAATATTCTGGAAAAATATTTGTTTCTTAATTTAAAAATCATAATAACGCAGAATAAAGTTTAATAAAGTTATTCAAAATTAATGAAAAAACTATAACATAATTGGAATATGAAAAAACTAATTTGTGTTTGATAACTAATTTATATATTTTAATATTTTATATATTTTGAAATTATTTGATTTTTATAGCTTATTTAGAAAACCATAATATTTTGAACGAAAAAATTGTAAATAGTGTTTTGATATTTTGTATATTTTTATATTTTAACCGTTTGTACATTAAATTATAAAAAAAATTATCTGCTTTTGTTTATTTCCTATTTCTACATCGATTAATTATTCGATTTCTAAGTTCTTTCTTAGCTTATTCATCAAAGTTTATATATAATTTTATTTTATTTTTCAATAAAAATTGATGACATTTATTATGAGTAATAAGGTGTTCGAGAATTCGTGAAATGCTTGTATAAAATAAATAAAAAATTATCGTATATATGAAATGATATTTGTATGTATAAATTATCGTATGTATGAAATATAATAATAAAAAAAATTGGGATAAAAGAAACTCGAGATAGAATTACTGTCTTTTAATCGATACTGACAATTACGTTTGTTTTCACTGTTCTAGATATTTAATTGTGATTATTAAAGATAAATTCACTTGTGTTTGAAAAATTTCTTTTTTTTTGGCTA